TAACCTGTGACATTGTCAAATGCTGTAAGATGCACACAGACGCTGATGTGGCTCTGTGTAATTGTTGTTGATACATGCACGGCAAAAATAAAGAATTAAAAAAAAAAAGAATAAGGTATATTCTTAAGCATGCGTGGGATAGGCATAAGGCTATCCTAACTATAAGATAAGGCCAGGGACTAATGAAAGTATTTAGAAAATTGGGCAGACTAGATGGGCCGAATGGTTCTTATCTGCCGTCACATTCTATGTTTCTATGTTTCTATAAACAAACAGCAGAATTGTCCTGTCTAGTGCTGCATCAGGTTATGTCAAAGGTAAAGTAGTTAGGGAGTGCTAGGCATATGTATTAGAGGTAGTGAGTAGACAGTGTAGGTGCAAAATAATAACAAGTGGGTCTTTGTGTCTGGGGTGGCTTCTAATTTGAGTTGTGCTCAGCATTAAGAGGGTTACAACTGGGTATGTTTTAGTCATCAATAATAGTAGGTCTGGGTCTGGGAGGGGAGGAGGTCTGGGTTTAAATAGACCGGACAACTTATAAGGAAATAAGACAACAGGTCAAAAGCAAATATAAAAATTACAGCATTACTGTGGCCCTGAATGTGTCAAAGTGGTAGGCCATGCTCGATTGCGAGTCCACTTTCATCCTATGCCCAATACTAGGACCATGCTGGAGGGCTGATGTCCCTTCTCCCTGTTGTCAGGCTTAATAGATGTTGCAGGACTCTTTGAGTAAAGTCACTGCGGATTCTCCTTGACCTCCCATTTAGCTTGGAGGTTGGCTATGAGACTTGATAGGAGTTAGGAAACAATCCCCTGCACCGCTGCCTTCCGTCTTCTCTAGCCCAGACCTTAAGAGGAGCTGTTCCACATTGTCCACAGGTCGGTTTGCACCGGTTATCAGGAGTGCAATCTTTCCAGAGCACTGGTTCGTGGCAAGCCCTGAGGGCTGGTGGATGATTGGTCGGACTTCTAAACCCCTGCCCAAAAGGGGATTTAGAAGCCTGAGCTGCAGGCTTCTGTGGCGGACCTGTCATAGTGGGAAGAAGTCAGGGTCGCTTCTCGATCCGGAGCCAGAATGCTTGGCAGATGAGGTTGAATTTGCTTTCAAAGCTCTCCCTCCATGTCAAGTCTCGATGTGTCTCTTGACCTCGTGGGAGCTGCACCTCGTTGGCCATCTTAGCTCTATCTTGTGGCCTTCTGTAGGACTGGAGTGTTGGCTAGTGGTGCCTGGCTATCTTACTGTCACGACACTCCTTTGTTGATTTGCACTCATGCAGTACCCACATTCACCACTATCACTGTTTGGCACTGTTCCTAATTTCTTTTCATAAGCACTTCACCTGGTTTCTCCCCTCACTCCTTGTCAGATCATTGTCTCTTGTCTCCTCTTTCTTGTTCCGTGGTTCTTGTTTCCTGGTTCCTGAGATTCTGACTCTCCGCTCCTTGATCCTGTGTCCTGCGTTTCCTGATCCTCTGTTCGTGTGTCTTCTTGGTATTGTGTTTCCGTGTCCTCCTGGTCCGGTGTTCCTGTGTCCTCCTGGTCCTGCGGTCCCATGTCCTCCGGGTCCTGAGTTCCTGTGCCTCCCGATCCTGTGTTATGGTTCCGTGTTCCTGTCTCCTGCCGTATTACCAGTGATCCTTACCCTGCAGCCTTGTTTGTTTGTCCTGCTTCGGACTTTGCTTCCTGGTGCCATATATTTGTTTTGTGGCTCTGCATCTGCGTCCCACCTGTTTCTGTGGTGGCTGCACAATCCTGCCCAAATACATTCTTTATACCAAAGGACTGTTTAAGTATACTCTGTCTGACCAATTTGTGGTTATCCTGATTTATTGTAAATATTATTCTGTGGCTTTGTATATATTTATTACATATTGTTTTATCTTTTGTCCTTTGGTTCCCTTTAATATATATTTCTTGATTTTATTCTATTCATTGTGTCCTTGCCTTTTATTCTTTGCTAAATTGGTTCCCACATTTAAAGGGACAGTGCTGTTCCAGGGCAGCACCCCTTCATGTCATGACACTTTCCCAGTGGGGACTGGGATATACCCGCTGGTCCAGAGGGGGAGTAGGGGGCGAACAGGGGTGAGTGCCGATATGATTTTGACAGGCTGCACTAACCAAGCCAGGAGGGCAGCTGTCTCTCCCCACTGCAGGTCCGTAGTCTGCTAGGCCTCAGCGTCTCAGTGGGAGTGTCCCATTCGGGCTCTTAGGTGGCAGACCACTGAGTAAGCTATATCTGTTCAGCAGGTTTATAGCTTAAAACGCCAGGATTTTGCTCATTTTGTGCAGGAGCTCCTGTGATACACATCCAGCCATCTTGGACGTCAGCCCCCACCCTTCACTGACGCTGCACAAAGTCCACTTCACTAAAACACAAAACAAAAAATCAGGCTTTGTGTAAACTGGAAAAAAAAGAACTGTATCCTCTATGGAATAGTAGTTTCTTCCTACTGAGAGAAGGGACTGGTGCAGACCGCCAAGTGCACTAAGGGAAACTTTAAGGGTATGTATCTTTTTGTTTACTTTTTTATCGTTTTGTTTTTTTTTCTTGCATTTTTATTGGTTTATCTGTGTAATGCATTAAAAAGTTTGATTCATTTTTACCAGATAGTTTCGGTTTAACTGTAGCTCACAACATACAGTTTTTGTTTCTACAAGATTACAGGAGTTGGCTGGCTCAGAGAAATCTGCGGCTATGTCACTATAAAGATTTCTCTAACATACATTTGTGAACAGGCTGCAGGCTAGCCACTACATAGCCTTAAGTTGTCTATGCTCGAAATATACAGTTCAGTTGGGTACTTACTTTGTCCAATCCTGCCCCCTAGCATGACTGGCAGCCCGGTAGCTGGGAAAAGTGGCCGATCTCCAGGCTCAGGGTGAGGCCTCTACGTAGCCCCGTTAACCATCCCTTGGACCGGTGAGGGTTATCCCAGTCCCCGCTGGGTAAGCCTGTCCTAGTGTCCTACTAAAGCAAGCCTTGGTGGTCTGCATACCTTGTGGTGTATCTAAGATGGCAGCTGCGCTTGAGCTCCCACTTCATCAAGCAGACCTAGTGGGACATGGATAGAGGAAATCCTTCTCTGCTAGATTTGATACACTATGCAGGCATCGCATCTGCAGCCTCACTAATACTCCAATTATGGCGATGGCTTGGCCCTGAGTGATGGCTGAACTCGCTCTCTTTCTCTGGGATGGGAGCCCAGATAGATTCACGTCTGACCCATCGCCCACATACGAACTCTGTGGTTGTCGGAGTTCGTTTAGGCCTACAATGCTGCTACCAGGAGTAGAAGGATCCGTGGACATCGGGTGTTGGATCGCATTCTGGCCCTGACTTGGAGACCCATGAACTTGGGGCATTGTAGCCGGGTTCCAACTGCCCAGCCAATAATCTGCCAGCGCAGTCATGTAAGGAAGGGACTAGAGGCACAGCCATGAGTGAAGCTGGAGTGGACTTTACATCATGGCCATCATGTGGCATAGGCTGACCATCTACCCATGTCTTAATATGTCCACTTTTCTGTAGCTAGTATCTCCCCTATAGGCACTCAGACCACTTCAGCTAATTGAAGTTGTATGGGTGCAGTTATTGAAAAACTGCAATAATTACATTGCCGGGTTAACTTCACCTCTAGAGGCTGTCTACCAGGCGCTTGCAAGTCGTTAAGCGACTTTTGGTCACCTGATGCTGGACATCCTCACGCTCTGCATGAGGACATCCAGTGTCAGCTAAAACACCATAGGAAAGCATTGATTCATTGCTGTCATATTGGGTAGTACTAATGTGAGCGCTGTATTTATCGCATTTGCCCATTAGGTCCCTGATGGCCCTGATTAGGTCAACTAACGTGGGGATGGAGCCTGACCCAGTGAGGAGGTACATCGGCACTGGATTCAGATAAGTGACAGAAGGGTTTCTGCACGGTGAGGGGGGCACATGAGCGAGGGGCATTATAGAGTACTATAGTTCTAGGAATACAACTTTTTATTCCTAGCACTATAGTTTCCCTTTAAGCATGTTCTTACCCTCAGGCAGGATCCGGACTATAGCTTTTGTAATTATTATACACAAGCTTGGTTTTAACTCGTGGATATTTAATATGTAATTTCTACTTTGTTTATCTGTATAAATCAAAGACGGATATTACTATTAGTCTATATGCTACTGCCAGTCTCTTAGCTATATTGCTCTATCACTGCATGCCTTTTCTGATTTATCTTTTTCTTTTATTGAAAAAAAAAAGAGGCTTGCAACAATGGTTACAATGTCTTTTTATATGATAATCTGACATTGTTCATGCTGCAAATGTCACTGTTTCATTAAAGGACCACTATAGTGCCAGGAAAACATACTCGTTTTCCTGGCACTATAGTGCCCTGAGGGTGCCCCCACCCTCGGGGACCCCCTCCCGCCGGGCTGGATGGCAAGGAAAGAGGTTAAACGTACCTTTTTTCCAGCGTTGGGCGGGGAGCTGTCCTCCTCTTCTCCGCTTCCGATCCTCCTCTTCGACTGAATGTGCATGCGCGGCAGTAGCTGCGCGTGCATTCAGCTAGTCTCATAGGAAAGCATTCATAATGCTTTCCTATGGACGCTGGCGTCTTCTCACTGTGATTGTCACAGTGAGAAGCACGCAAACGACTCTAGCGGCTGTCAATGAGACAGCCACTAGAGGCTTTAGAGGCTGGATCAACCCATTTATAAACATAGCAGTTTCTCTGAAACTGCTATGTTTATTAAAAAAAGGGTTAATCCTAGAGGGACCTGGCACCCAGACCACTTCATTAAGCTGAAGTGGTCTGGGTGCCTAGAGTGGTCCTTTAAAGAAATGTTTGTCATATCTTTGCCTCAATAAAAAATGATTGACAAAAAAAGAAAAATAAACATAACCATTGTCATTTTATTATGATATAATAATGCAGGCTGCCAGTGACATCATACACCGGTACCTTCCTCTGCTCCTTCAAGTACCATTAGATGCATAGGCTTTTAACACAACTGACATCAGGATTTTAAAAGGTTTATTTATTTATTTATGACTGGTATTTATAAAGCGCCAACAGATTCCGCAGCGCTGTATAATTAGTGGAGAACGTACAATATACACAGACAAATACAAGAGGTAGAGAGAGCCCTGCCTGTAAGATGATATCTTGTCATTGGAGCTCTTTTATACAAAGTGCTTAGCTAGATGGCCCATGAGCTTACAATCTAAAGGATACAATGGGGATTTGAGACAAGAGGTAGCAGGGGACGTTTGGAGGTGATGGCTGAAAGAGTTAACAGAGAGAAGCAGCAATTGGTAAAATACAGAGGGAATGAAGAGGTAATTGAGTGAGAATCTCAATTACCTATTAACACAGGCTAGTAGCAAAGTAAAAGATGAGGATAATTACAAGGGAAAATTCAAAGGAGACGGAGATGGCCATCAAAATAATAAGGGGAGCTAGAAGAATATTGCCATTTGGAAATATGGGCCTCTCATATTGGGTAGGAGAGGGATTGTGACAATGAGGTGTGACATGGCTACTGATGGGAGTTCCAGAGATTACAAATAATACTCAGGGGAGAGGGCCGTTGTAACTGGGACAGAGAACTACAGATGTGTATTTAAATTAAAATATATACATTTATTTAGGACAATCCACCGTGTCTAAGTCCCTTGTCCAGGCCTCCCAACTTAAGTAAGGACTTTCCTTCCATCCCACTTTTGTGGACACCAGGAATTTGTTCCCAGAAAGTGTAGCTTAAGTGAATCATTGGACTTATTCTATCTATGCTTAAGGCAATAGGACTACGCAGAGAGTATTGAAAAAGTTATTCTTCATAATAGTTTATTGTTCTTTTTCAGTGTTCTGAGCTAGTAAAAAATAATCTCCCTGTGCCCAGCACTCCAGACACATGCTTATTATTCTACGTGCAGTGCAGCCTATAAAGTTATCTTCATCATAATTGTTAATTGTTCTTTTTACATTAGTAAAGTCCCCACCATGGAATTTATTCATCTCTTTTAATACATATGTATAGGGCCATTCATTAAAGTGCAAATTAAAAGTGAATTTGAAATTTAAGATCAAAATAGACAAACTGGAAAAATTATCTTCTCTAAGTCAGCTATGCGTTCACTTAAAGGGACACTATAGCCACTAGAACAACTACAGCTTATTTTTTGTTCTAGTGAGTAGAATCATTACCTTCAGGCTTTTTGCTGTAAACACTGTCTTTTCAGAGAAAATGCAGTGTTTACATTACAGCCTAGTGATAACTTCACTGGCCACTCCTCAGATGGCTGTTAGAGATCCTTCCTGGGTCATGGCTGCCTAAAATGCTTCCAAACATTCAGTATCTCCTCCCTCTGCATACAGACACTGAACATTTCTCATAGAGGTTCATTGATTCCATTCATCTCTATGAGGAGATGCTGATTGGCCAGGGCTGTGTTTGAATCATGCTGGCTCTGCCACTGATCTGCCTCCTTGTCAGTCTCAGCCAATCCTATGGGGAAGCATTGTGATTGGATCAGGCTATCACTTCTGATGATGTTAGCTGACAGCTTATTTTTCTGAGGCAAACAGCATGCAGAGTTACAGCTTCAGGGTCAACTACAGTAAGATTTTGCTATATTTATGGAAGCATGAGGGGCCCAGGGATGCTAGTTGGTGGTTTTAACACTATAGGGTCAGGGATACATGTTTGTGTTCCTGACCCTATAGTGATCCTTTAAGCTTAAAACATGGGTCTTAAATTTGAAATTTACTTTTAATTCTATCTTTATCAAATAATCCTTATTGTGTAATTGATGTAAACATGTTTAGGGTTATTAACTAAATCGGAAATGAAGAGAATTAAATCAAGCAGTGTTAGAAAATCCTTCCATATGTGCTATTTTAGCCTTAAAGGACCACTCTAGGCACCCAGACCACTTCAGCTTAATGAAGTGGTCTGGGTGCCAGGTCCAGCTAGGGTTAACCCATTTTTTCATAAACATAGCAGTTTCAGAGAAACTGCTATGTTTATGAATGGGTTAAGCCTTCCCCTATTTCCTCTAGTGGCTGTCTCATTGACAGCCACTAGAGGCGCTTGCGTGCTTCTCACTGTGAATGCTTTCTTTCCTATGTGACCGGCTGAATGCGCGCGCAGCTCTTGCCGCGCATGCGCATTCAGCCGACGGGGAGGAGAAGAGGAGGATCGGAGGAGGAGAGCTCTCCGCCCAGCGCTGGAAAAAGGTAAGTTTTACCCCTTTTCCCCTTTCCATAGCCGGGCGGGAGGGGGACCCTGAGGGTGGGGGCACCCTCAGGGCACTATAGTGCCAGGAAAACGAGTATGTTTTCCTGGCACTATAGTGGTCCTTTAAGTTTACAATTTCGATTTAATTCATTAAAATGCAGAGTTTAGTGAGTAGCCTCAGTTGACTGAGTTCTTTACTAATCTTAGAATAGTATCTTGGCATAAAATTTGAGTATTGTTTAAATATGTTTATATTGTTATTGATGACTTCTGTGCTATGCAAGAAAACTGCAAAGTGGTTATAATGAAAATAATTCCTACAATAATTCTCTTGTTTTAACTTTTTTTTTTTAATGTAATTGGTTGCCAAGCATAACAGAGGTTATATGCCATAAAAAAAATAATTGTTGTCAAGAGAAAAATGAATCTTACAACGCAACCTAAAGTAACTAATCTTTGACTGTAGCTTAGTTTGAAAAAAGTTTCTAAATTAGGCTTATCTACTTCAGAACAGGCTAAAGTTTTTCCTTCTACAACACCATTTGAAATATTTTCAAATAGTGACTCCGTAATTGCTCATTGTATTACAAATCACAGCAGCGACTTTGGACCAGTCTTTGTTTGTGGGTAGATAGGACATATCCCTGGATAGGATGTGTTCTGATTCAGAGTGGCAGAACACTTTATTTTGCATCACTGGTCTATAGCATGTAAACATGAACTGCTTATCTTTTGGTACTGGGTATCAACAACCATGGCATGGCGTTTTCCTCACATGTTGGAGATGTCCAGAAGCTCCAGGTATGTACCTCAATATCTGCCCCTTAATCCACAGGTTTTGGAAATTGATCCATGACACTGTATATAAAGTATATAGAGATGGCGTTAACTTTATATATGTTTTGTCTGAAGAGTTCAGGTCCGGCCCCTATACTCTTTTCTGTTACTTTTTGCATACTTCCACTCTAACTTCCATCTTTTTTTATCTCTTGTTTCTCTATCCCACTCTCCTTCCTTCCTCTCTTTTTATTTTTTATTCCAGGTGGAAGGTGGTTCTGCATCACACTTGCCTTTTACTTTTGTTTCATGAACTTCATCTTTCCTTTGGATTTCATTTCCCTATATTTGCATTTGCACTTTGTATTTTTCTCTGAAAATTGTCTAGAAGTTTGAATACAAATATTTTTTTATTTTTTTTTATAATGTAATTGCCAAAGGAATTCCACTTTGTAGGCCTTTTTCTGTGTTTTTTATGCCCTAAATTTGCAATTGTCAGTTCTACACAATTCCCAGTTAGCCAACAAACCTCAGTTTCCACTGGTAATAGCAGTGGCATTCAAAACCAGATTCATTGGTTAGATGGAATCCACCCTCACATTCTTAGCACAAAATTATGCCGGTTTCCCCCCTTACTTAAATAAGTACCAAAAAGCAGCCTGGGGTTGATGTTGCTCCTTTAGTTTACAAGTCAATGAAGGAAGATGGATGTCAATGAATCGCACTAACTCATGAAAAGGGATTGCAACTAGAAGGGAATTCATAAAAAATTAAATCTAAATTTTAAAAATTATATCTTAGGCCATAGTTCCCCTTTACATCCTTTGAAATTTTATCCTGTGAGTCTTTCTTTGAAAAAACAATCAAAATATGTGATTTATAAGAAAAAATATAAAGATATGACATATAAAAAATGTGATAAATGCTAAAGATGACATAATATAGATAAAAGTGGCACAATATATATATATATATATATTTTATAAAACCATGATGTTCAAGGGGTAAAGATGCCACAATCTGTAACTCTGCAATCGAGTGTTGGTCGCTCATTGTATGTTGGGATGTCTTCAAGTTTCTGCAGAACATCACTGCCTTCAATCAGTTGTCTAAAAGTGTGAATGAGAATAAAATATATAAAATTTTATTTTAAAATCTTATTTGCAAATTAAGTTTCAATCAATTCAACTTCTTTGAAAATGTCAAACTTTGTATAAAAAATCTTATTTTATTTTGGCAGCAGTTCCTTATTTTTCATGCAAAGAATATCGGAAACCCTTAAAGATTTGGTATTTTTTGTTGACTTATAGATTGTAAATATGTCCACTGTGTTTCTGGTCTATTACCTATTTTGAGGGAAAATAGCTAAATGTTCGTCTGTATTGTCGTGAATTTATTGCTATGTTATTTTAAATTATTTAACCACAATACTATTGTGTCATTAATATCCAGATTTCAAAGACCTTAGAGCTGCCAGACCTGAATTTGTAAATGGACAGTAAAGGCTCCTGCCTGCCTGTATATATATGATAAAGGCTCAACAATAGATACCTTTTCTGTGTACCCCCGAGAGTAAACCTGGCATGGCAGGACAGAACCTCGAATTCATATCTATCCCTATGGACCTGGAAGGGTGCTATTTCCCAATCAATTCTAAACAACTTCTAATCTCATGTTCCACCTAATTCTAATCTAACCTAAGTCATGTACTGACCATACCTCCACCTCAATGCTGTCTGCAGAGGGATTCTGTAAGGTGATAGGTGATTAATTAGTTGATTACTTTTTCGTAACAAGAATGCTCATACTACAGTGCAGTATAAGTAAAAATTATGTGTCCTGGATCATATCCCCCCACTGTGTATGTATGCACATGTAAGGATGTCACTTTTCCCACATACATCATCCTTCCTCAGTCCCCATGATCTCACCGGTGACGCTAGTCCTCTAGTATGTAAGTTCATTTGAGCAGGGTGTGGCGGACCGCCTGGCACCCTGACTGGGTGCCTCCGCCAATCGCTGCTTCCTAGTGCTTACCGAGTACCACAAGCACTGCACCAGACACCATCCGCACTGTAGTCCCCACTTCCAGCATTAGAGCTTGGTTGGGGTCTCGCTGTCCTCCACCCACCCTGGACCCAAGACCAGGATCCAGCTTCCAGTGGGTAGACCTTTCCTCCAAGAGAGTGTAGCAATATGCTCTTAAAAGAGCAAGTGGGGGGGCAGAGCCTGACCGCCAAGCGATGCAGACATGAGCTCCGGCATGGCAGGCAATAAACAAAGATTTAGAGGCAACTATGAAGCCATGAGGCACACCCGAGTGCGCTACACATGCAGTGGAGGCACTCCTGAAGCGGCAGACGCAACCTCGAAGCCTGTCGTGAATGGGGGCGCTGGAAACCATATGCGGCCTACTGGGGTGAGACGGCCACTCTCCCCGGCCCAGAAGCTCCTGAGCGACTACAACAGCACCCTACCTCCCCCCCTTGGACCGGTCGGGGTCATCCCGGACTCCACAGGAAAAGCAGACTGCAGCAGTTGGCAGACTAACCAGCATCGCCGCCGGCGGGGAAGCCAAGCCGCCGAGGCCCGGCCAAGATGGCGCTCAGCAGCAACCCGACTCAAAAGTCGCACACACCAAGCTCACGACAGGGCTCCTGGAGGCTCTTGATCAGCTCTGTGTGAGCTTTTGGACACTACTTTGTCACCAGGGGATAGCAGTGGCCCCCTGGATCCGCCCTGCGACCCGATGCCGCCATTATAGGCCCCTGCCACAAGTCCCCAAAGCTGCCACCCGGCAGGGCAAAGCAGCTAAGAGGCAACAATACATGCGTCCTTGGACTGGAGTGCTGCGTCGATCAGAGGTACAGTGCAGCACCCCAAGCTTAGCGAGAACTGCCACCCACCTGCCTTCACCTCGGTACCGCGGTCTGTGGTACACCTCCTTACGCAGACTGCCCCCGGCCGACAGGCCCACCTCACCGGAACGGAGCTCCGACCCCGTTGCCATAACGACATCCTGCCTCTTACAAAACGGCTGGATATAAAGTATTGCTGAACAGATCCTTGCTGCCAGGCGACAGGCCTCGAGATCTGGCGTGGGATGAGGGCCTAGAGTGGACTGGCTACATGTGTCCCACACCTGCTTCACACTTCACCGGGACGCCTGTTGCTTCTACCCGCACAGCTGACATGCCTAATCCTGAACTGCCGAGGACTCTTTTTCCTACAGATAAGCAAAGTTATTAACAATTTCCTTTAGTACCTTACGGCCTCCAATGCCCAGTAGCCTACCAGCCACGAGAGTATACTGCTTTTGCCTTACGACTGGCTTTGGCAACTCAGATCTGCTAGAAATGATCACCCGCATGACCTGCATTAGATAAGCCTGATCTAAAATAGATACAAGCATTGCATGTTAGGCCTTACTTATGGCATTCGTAGCATTATGTTATCAGTTTAAGCTATAATACTTGTTAATAGGTCTAACCCCTGGTTACCTTATCATAACGTGTCCTATCAAGCGTTAACTCTAAGGCACTTATAGTATGCTCCAGCATAACCGAAGCCATTACTTTAGTCTAACCTTGTCTGGACCACCCTTTCTTATTAAAAATGTGCCAATAAGCTACGGTCCTACCACACTAATATACAATGTGCACTGTCCCACATGACATATACTTGTCTATATCTTAAAAATGTAAATGTGCTGTTTACTCTGCCACGACATTGTATGACATTGAATAGCCTGTACACGCCGTTGTGGCCCTGCAGGCATGTTGTAATTTTATGCACAAGAAAAATAAAGCATAGGAAAAAAAAAAAAAAGAGCAAGTGATTATAATCCCAGGGAAGTATAGTGATATAGCAATCCCCAGAGTGAATACAGCTGTCCCCTCCACACATGAGACGAGGGCGAAGAGGAACTGGTGTATTGGTAGCAACAACTGGCCTTTTATGTAAGTCCCCATGCAAGGGACACTCCCCCCTGGACTTGAGAGAGTAGACTACTGTAAAAACATACATGCGATTACATTGGCTCTCAGGTCCAGGACACTCCATACAAAATGAGACAATCCCTCCCCTGTGCCTTGGAGATAATCGGATCAGGAACTGTACTAATTTAATTATCTCCCGGCACAAAAACACACATTTCAGCAGTACCACGAAAGTACCCTTAAAACCCATGGAAACCCCACAAAAGTTACATCCCCTGATAGCCCCGATCTGGATGACCAACATATCCAAAAATCACCCAGATCGGTTCAGGGGTTCAGGATTTCCATAACCTGTCATATTTTGACTGACCGCACATGAGGCTCTTGCCCAAAAGAGCTCCATGAATTCAGGCTGTGCGGTCAGTCTCTTTCAGGAATACTTAATACAGTCAAAATACCCAATGTAGGGGTTCATGGGTAGGTTCAGTCTATGTCCCTTGTTCGGGAGCTTGCTCTCACCAAACGCCGCTCTTCCCATACGAATCCAGCCGAACATATGAGGAGATGTATGTGCTTGCGGCTAAAGATGGCCACGGCCACGTGTTCGCATGCCGAAAAACTACCACCCAGCCGAGCACCAATTAAGTTGCAGTTAAACATAAGTCAGGGAAGTTAATGGGCTGCACACTCCATTTGTGGGTGGTCCAACTGTTCGGTAACCAAACAGAATATCTACAATCCGTTCGGTAACATAGAAACATAGAATGTGACGGCAGATAAGAACCATTCGGCCCATCTAGTCTGCTGAATAGTAAGCTCCATATACCGAACCATATAAGGGAAAAGGCATGAACAAAGCCTTTCCATAGTCCTGAACCAAGGTCTAATACATGGGCCATTGTCATGGGGCAAGAGGCTGGTAAGCAGGCCCCTCCAAGAACCAGTGGCGAGGTTACTATCTCCCTCCCCGCAAGGTAAGACTAACTAGGTATCTGACTTCCTGTCGGTTGAGTAGCCCACCCATAAGTACTGGACCTGATGACTTCTGTGGCCTGGCTCTGTCCCATATGTCACCAGTGGTTAAGTGGGCATCTGGTACTCTCGGCCTCTCTATTTCTCTCCGGCCTGGAGTTGGGATTACCCGGTGGGAAGAGGCCAGCGGCGCTCTTCCCCGTAGCCAGCTTTACAGCTGGGTAGATTAAACGGTCATCAAGTCCTGGACTAAGGAAAAGGGGAGGGCAGAGGCCAACTGTGCTCTGCCCTGGTGCCAGCACTTCTGCTGGGGTGGGGTCAGTGGGTATTGCAGTCTCATCCACTAACCCCAGGACCTGGTTGGAAATCTGCGGTAGAGAGGAGGGATCGCCTACCTCCTCCTCCTATTATTCCGGCTGGGTTGGTTGGGGATCTGGACCGGCCGTCCCCATAGGTCTGGTGCACCATTAGGTCCCATCTGCACTATTGGAGTCAGGGGCACGGTTTCCCTGTAGTTGGGGAGAGGGACCAGTTGTCTCCTCTCCCAGTATCTCTGGCTGCTGCTGGGGAGAGAGGCCAGTTGTCTCTTTTCCTTGCATGGTACACTGCCACTGGGGAGTAGGACCGACTGTCCCTACTCCCGGTAACTCCGACTGTAGTTGGGGATCTGCGCCACCTGCCCAGCATCCATATAGGGCCGGTGGAGTGACCTTCCCACTTGCGGGTGGTCCAACTGTTCGGTATCCGAACAGAATATCTACAATCCGTTCGGTAAGCCCCATATACTGAACCATAAAAGGGAAAAGGCACAAACAAAGCCTTTCCATAGTCCTGAACCAAGGTCTAATACATAGGACATAGTCCTGGGGCAAGAGGCTGGCAAGCAGGCCACTCCAAGAACCAGTGGCAAGGTTACTTTCGCCACACAAGGTCCTCATAAACCTACTGTTCCTGTAACATTTTGTAATTGTCGCATTTATTGTAAAATGTCCCCCTTTATAATATTTAAAGTGCTGCAAAATAAATTGTCGCTATATAAATGCCAAAAATAATAATAATAGACTAACATAAACAATACAAACCTATAGAAAGCAACTTCCCCTATACTTTCAATACAAAGATAAGTAGTCCACTTCTTATAATGATAGTTGAATCTGGTTGCGTAAAGTAGAAAAACATCATACAGAAATAGCATGTATGATCTAATATATTTCACACTACACTAGCATCCATTCAGCATTACATTAATGTAAACATTTTACTGTATGATATCTACTCACCCAAAAGCCACAGATTTTTTGTCCAAGTATGGAGTGGCCTGTAGGGTGATGTAGAACTGGGATCCATTTGTATGGCGCCCCTTATTGGCCATTCCAAGAATACCACGTTTATTGTGAGGAATTGCATAATTTTCGTCTTCAAAACAAAACAAAAAAACGATATCCAGTTATTTTTAATACAGTGTGAATCAAAGTGTGTACTAAAAACATGAATCTTGTCAGAAAGGGTATGCCTAAAGTATTAAGGCATGTAAGATATAGATTTTGCTACTGTTTAAGAATATAGCACAAATGTTGTTTAGGTGAGGTGACTTTGTGCCCTCTTTTGGGTGAGGTTCTTGTATATTAAACATCTGCAGCTGTGTTCAGTTCTGTAAAACAGAACAGTTTTACAGAACCACTTACCAATGTGTTCAGAATAGAATGGAACAGCACTGTCACTTGTGGGGTTTTGGTATATTTGGCAATCCCCACCACCATTACCACCACCCCAGCCATGGTGATATGTTCTCTTTCACTGTGCTGCCAAGTTAGACAGTAAAGGTAGATGTAATTACCTAAATGTTTCTCTCTTGGGCATGTTCCTCTATACCTCTACATTTAGCACCTAACTTGTCAGTAGCCTGCTTCCTGTGCACAAGACTTTAAAACAGAGGTCTACAGAAGATCTTGCGGGACTAGTGCATTCTGCCATTGTCCACAATGAGAACCATAGGCATCTCTTGTTCACTGAGCTAGGAGTTGCCTGTTCACCTTACCCGTTGCATAGGAAATGGCAAGATGTAGCGGCAAAATCTCCTTGGTATACACACTACCTGACTGGCTAAGCCTTGAAGTTCACAACTGGAACTCTTTCTTTAGTGGCTTTTCTTTGTCTATACACGGCAATCCTGCAGTCATTGAATATGTAGCATTTTGCCATATTTTTACACTCCTTATGCTACAGGTCTTTCTCCACATGCCATGATCCACTCACATTTTCTACAAGAAATTTTACATACTAGAGGAATTGTACCAATATCCCCAAGTCACCCTAAGCCTAAATCACCCTAACTTTACCTTTTTACTTTTTTTTAAATTACATTCTTTATTTTTCTGTGCATGGATGAACAAATCAGGCTCGCAAAGCCACAATAGCAAGACAAGCCTCAACAATCATGAGAAACATTTCTTATCATGGTATAGAGTAGTTCTGCACATATTTTTTTTATACAAGCAAAGAAAACAAGGATAGTAGGTTTGTCAGTGGAGAGAAATCAAAAGTGTTGTCAACATATGGCAGACCGACTGATGGCATAAGAGGTCATAATAAAAGATCACAGGCTTATAAGACAGGAGACATGCTTTTAAGTGAGATTGTTAGCTTTGGTGAAGGTATTACATAACATAGCAATAAAACTCTTGCACTACAGTTCTGCTGAGTATTGGAGGTATAAGTCAGCCTACCCCCTGCACATACAGGTTACTGCCCTGGGATCCAGAGTACCCCATGTCTGCACCCCTTCTGCCATAGGCCTCAACACAGCCCAGTTCAACAAGCTCATGAGCAGGGCATTGTCTCGAGGTCCTTCACAGGGATGCTTGTGCTCCTGAGTAGGAGTAGCCCTCCAAGGGTGTGGGTGATAAGTAGGGGATTGTCCCTGCCCAGACTGTGACCTAGGAGGATGGTGTACTCCGGCAGCACCGAGCTTTCTGCACAATGGCACTCTCTGAAGCACCTGTTTCCTCTTCTTGACCCTCAGTGCTGTGTCCAGGCATCGCCCAGGTGGCGTGTAGTGCTGGGTGGTCTGCTGTATGGGTGGCACTGCTGGTACTGTGTGAAGAGTACTTAGGTTTGGGATATGTGAATCCCAGTTGGCAAGTAGCTCATCCAGTTTGGTCATGAAAGTGAGTTGCAGGTCCCGAGCCTCTGATGTACATGTGGCGTCCGCCATCTTGTCCACTGGGAGCTGGGCATTCTGGATGGTAAGTTGTGCAGGCATTGCTGGAGTAGCACAGGCAAGATGCGCCGGAATATCCCTCACTGGTTGGGGGGTCATAGTGGGGGCAAGACCTCTGGTTTAAAGTACAGCAGCAAACAGAGGGATCGGCCGCCTCCCCTACGTCCGCCGTGAGTTGGCCTTCTCTTAGGCCTCGGGTTTGCCACTTGTGGGAGCCTCCGATCTCGGCCGGAAACTCTATAAAGTCAGCAGTATAGGGTACCTCCCGTCTCTGGGGTAAGTATTCCGTGCTGAAAGTTGCAAATATAGCTATTTAGAGGCTTTGTACCACGGAGCTCACAAGATGAGTGAGCGGTCAGCTTGAGGGTAGGGCTCCACGCCCCCCCCCCCCCAACCCCACCCTTCCTTATTTTATAACAGTCCAATTTCTACTTGTACCTGAGCTGCATATTTTCATTATACCGGGACCCCATCTGGTTCTTGTGGTTTCTATTTATTTATTTTTTTGTAAATCTGTTTTTATTAACAAATTTGCATAGTTATCCAGGTACATTGCCGTATAATAACACAGATCGTGAAATACATTTTACCAGAGACAAACATTACGGTGTTAGGTTATACTGTAGTCTCTTATTTCTTATCTCACCCTTAGGTATGTTGTTTTCTGAGCTTTTCAGTCGTTTTCTAGTGAGTTGTTTCTTAGCTATGCCTCGGCTGAAGTTGTCAGGCCTCCTTTTTCTATGCAATTGTTTGAGGGATATGTGCTGTGTGCTGTAGTTGCTTGTGAGCCTTATGTGGGTCTGGCATGTGAAGCTTTATCGAGCTTGCGGATCTTATTGTGTGTATACTAGTATCTCCTTGGCTTTTTTAAGTGATGTTTTCGCTATGGTTGGCCTGAGATTTATTGTGCGTCTATTAATCTTGTGGTGATCACCGTGTAGTGGGTCTCATGTGCTCTCGTTTTTGGTCCCTAATTTGATTGTGGTGTGGCGTTTCATATGAGCTTAGGTACGCTGGTCGCCAAGTCTTCGGCGTTGTACGTGTTGTCATAGTGGGCTTGTCGTTCTCTATTCGTCTTTGTTTGTAACATGTACTACGCGAGGTTGTTGGTGTGCCCCAAAGTGGGTGTGTGTTCATTTAGTAATATGTGTGGTTAGTGTTCCCTGTTCTTGTTAGTGTTTACCCGTCCCTTCTAGTTTCGGATCTCGAGGGGTCTCCCAGTGTGTTCTGTATTTCTTGCTCCATTTCTCCCCAGTTCGGTTTGATTTTTCTGCAGTCCCACCAGATGTGTCGGAGAGTTCCGTTCTCTTCGCTGCATCTCCAACAAGTATCTGGAATTGTGTGTAGAAGTTTATAGTTTACCTCCTGGAAGTGGGAGCTGGTTGAGCTTTTGTGCTGTAGCAGAAGTGTTTTTCCCATTGGTTGTCTGTGTAGGCTCTGGCCGTTAGTTCTTCACATCGTCTTTTGAACATATCTTTCTTCTCCCGTTCTAGTGTAATTAGGCGTTGGTATATGGTGGAGACTGTGCCTTCCGCATCCAGTGTGTGGGAGCAGAGTGTTTTGTACCAGGTTAGGTCTCGGTGTATTCTGTGTCTGTGTGGTAGAAATATTTCAGTTGGGCATTGGGGAATTGGTGCATTGTCGTTGGTGCTCTTCCTTCTGTAATGTCCTGTAGCGCCTTCATTCCTGTGTTGTTCAGTACTGCTTGCAGAAGGATATATCTTTCTTGGTTGGCTAGTGGCCATGCGGACCATGGTTTCTATTTAGTTAATAGAGAATACAATGAACCTACTATATTAAAATACATTCAACACTCCGTGAAGAGACCACCAAGACTATCTCTCAGTGTTCAATACAATGGTGGCGTTTAAATAAAGTCTGTCACAGAGATGCTTTACTCTGGTGTGCATAAGATCCCCAACAAACCATTTAGAGCTATTACTGAATTGGGTAGTTGCTAGATATGTATAAAATGCATATTGAGACACTGAATAACTGATTAACTCTGAAGGCAAACATACTAATCACAAAGCTATACTATTAATACAATATGAATACACATATATGTATACCTTCAAATGTTTCTCCAAAGATAGATTCACCCCCATTTCCTTTTCCAGATAATATATCTGTTTAAACATACAATGTAATTGTTATAATATTGGTATGTCAGTAAGAAACTACTTAAATGCTTCCATGCTGTAAAAAAAAAAAATTAAATATAGTTTAGTTATTTTAAAAGAAATTGTTTATATTTAGAATAAGCAGTACAAAAAAGATGACACTTACCCATTACAAGAGGGGCGCTTTAAAGAGGGACTGTCACTAAACAGAATTTTTCATAATTTAATATTATCAGGTTTATTTCATAAAGTGAGATTTCAAAGTAAATTTCAAATTTAAGGTTGAAGTGAAAGTATAGCTACTACTATAGCAGAATTATTTTTACGGTATTGCTAATTTAATGTTAAATTTGAAATACACTTTGAATTTATACATTAGTAAATAAACATGTATAGTTAGGTATACCCTTTATTAAACAAATATGTATTTGTGGGATATTCACATGAAATTAAATGTAGAAATCCATACATCTGAATCCTGCAAACAGGCACCTCCATCTTAGCCCCCTGTCAATCACTGTTAATAAGCTCAGTCATTTGCACATGGTAATTAGCATACAGAAAGCATACAGAGGAGAAATGAAACAATAGAGGAGGCCAGGGTAGTGTTTGGCTCTGTCCCCGGTCCGCATCCTTGGCTGAGAACATCAAAATTGAGATTCTCAGCCAATTCAATGCTTTCCATTGAATTGGCTGATGGTGTCCGCCAAAGAGGCAGATCAGGGACAGAGCAAGAACCAGCAGACTGGAATAAAGATAATATTTTACTATATTTAGGGTGCAAAAGGGTTAGGGGGGCTAGATAGTGTTTTTAACACTATAGAGAGTCAGGAATACATGTCTGTGTTCCTGACCCCATAGTGTTCCCTTAACACATATTGGTCATAACTGATTTTACATTTTTTTAATTCAATTATATAATTTAAAAAAAAAAATTACATATAAAAGGAACTTTAATTATTGCAAAGAGACTTTGTTTCATAGCAGTCATGTTGAAATATAAATATAACAAGATATCAGTTTTGAAATATGTCTCCTAGTGAAGTCCTCTCAGGGTTATTCACTAAAGTGAAACTTCAAAGTGTATTTCAAAATTAAGATCAAACTAGCGAATCTCAAAAAAATTCTCTAATCAAGCTATGCTTTCAGTTTGTCCTAAACTTTGAAATTCACTTTGAATTCTCACTTTAGTACATAACCATAACTATCTTCTCAACATTTCTAGTTTTGCTAGCAATCTCCCTGTTGTATAAAGTTTATTTATGAGGTTGGACTTACTTGCTCTAAAGAACTGCCATTAAAACCTGCTCTTAAGATCTACCAATAGTCAAGATCTGAGAATATCTCTGTTAGTGCATAGACACAATGTCAGCTTTGATTAATTAACTTCTCCTAAACTAGGAGTATCATGAAATTTTGACCTGTTGCAGACCTATCAACTTTGGCAAGCCTGATGGAAGTGGTTAGGAGGAGAGGAACTTTTCAGAGCTGAGTGTGCTCTATGGGTAAGGTGAGCACCTTACAGTATTGTGGGCATTATATGTGGCTACCAACTGGTTAGTAACAGGTGAAACAACAAATAGACATGTGCAATTAGTTTCGTTCAGACGGATTTCGCCAATTCGGACATTCGGATGCTTCCAAATGTCCGATTTGCCGAATTTCCAAAGTGCTGAACCAAACCGAAGTGCCGAATTTCAGAAGTGCCCTACCCCTAACCTTAGATGTGTAAGTGGTTGTGGTGGTTAGGGTTAGAGGTAGGGTTGGGGTTAAGGGTAGGGGTTAGGGTTAGGTAATTACTGAATTCCCAAAGTCCCGAATTGCCAAAGACCCGGATTGCCGAAGTCCCGAATTTCTGGTCTACCATACCGAACCGAAGTGCCGAATTGCTGAAGTTCCGAACCGAAGCGAATTTTTTGCCCATGCACATCCCTACAAATAAAGAAGACAACTGAATAAAACATAACACTTGAGGATAAAAGGTAAAAAAATAGAAGACAATATAAATCAGCTGCTCCCTGTCCAAGTTACTGGACTCGGCCCTTCGCAATTCCTTGGCACAAATGGGGTTGTGCAGTCTGGGTCCCAGTCATGAGGTCCACGGGAGGCAGGCAGGCTGGTCTGCCTAGTGCTTGGAAAAAAGCTGGTGCCTCCGCTGTCAAGGATAACTGGTATGTCGCTCCGTTCTTCTCTACACTCGATCTTCGGCACGAAGTTGGTGAGCTACTGGGCTCATGGAATGCCTCCAAGTCCTGATAAAAGGTGAGTGTTGATGATTCAAAGGTGTAGGACGTTTTTTTCCCCTCAATGTCGACCAGATGCGACCTTTATCGAGGAGCGTTTGGCGTCGTGTTATCACGTCACGTGGAGCAACCACAGGAGCTTCCTGGGATTTGTTAATACGAAAGTAGTCATCAAAGACAATCTTCTTAGCCTGTGAGCTGGTATCAGGGGGTCTTAGATAGTAGCTCATCAGACAGGACAGCGTGTGGAATGTCTTTAATCTTTATGTTAGCTCTGCGACTTCTGTAATCAAGAATGTCAGCTCTCAGGGCTAAGGAGGTTTGAGCTTTCTGGATTTGTTGCATGGATTCTCTTATTGTAGAGACCTCTTGGCGTAGGTCAATAATATCCTCCTCAGAGGCCTGAGTTTTAGCTGTTACTACTTGGACTTCCACTTTAACAAGGTCTAGGTCAGCTGCAAACAGTTGTTTAATGCTTTGTAGCAGGTTGGCAATGTCTTGTTTTGTGGAGGGCGTATGAGGGTCCTCTCCAGAGGGCTCTGCTGGTGCATTTGGCCTTGCTAGGGGAACAAGGGACAGCTCCTCCACTGTTTGTCTTAGTATGGATGTGCAGGCCTCACCTTCCACCTGGACGGCCATCTTGTGTGTCACAGGGCGCTGAAACATGGCGCCAATATGGTGGTTGTCATTTACTCCAGCCGGAGGTTGTTTCTGGGATCCTTCATGTGAGTAGTGGAGCAGTTCCTCCAATGGCAGGCCCGGCGGCAACACAGAGGTTTTAGGCTGCTGAGGGGCGCAAAAGCCTTAATCCATTGGTGTAGGAGTTTGCCTGTTGGAGGATAAAGGAAAGGCATCTGGCGATTCCACACCGTATTAGGGGACAGTATAAGCTGGGATGGCATATAGATATTGTGGTTTAGTCGAGTAATTTAGCCAATTTCGATCGTTAGTGCTGGAGCACTCAGGAATGGAGTCCGTTCGGTTCTCTAGCTAAGCTCCGCCCCCGCCCCAGAGTTAGTATTTTGACCATGAATTATTAGTAGAATTTCAGGCAATTCAGACATTCGGGTACTTCCGAATAGATGAATTGCCGAATGGTTGAAGTCCCGAAATTACCGAAGTTCCGAAGTGTCAAAGTGCTGAAGTGCCGGAGTACCGAAGAACTAATATACTTACACAGTGGAAGAATGAAGAATGTTACACTGTATACAATTTTAAATAAAAAGTATACAAACATAGCCAGGATTCAGCTGTAAGCATTTGCAACACTTACAACAATCAAATAACATACATTCATATAAAATGTAAGTTACTTAGCCAGTCAGTGTAATAACAGGAATGAATAAGTAGATAACTCCCTAATTCCCACGGTATTAGGGAGCTATGTATTAAAAGGCTGAAAGACCTAAATTGGTCTTTCAGCCAAATTTACTAATACTAAGTAAAAATTACTTAGTATTAGTAAATTATGCCCCTAATCGCTATACTGCGAGTAGGGAATGTCTATTAAACAGTTAGCAGCCTGCTCACTTAAAAAAAAAAAAAAAAAAAGGTTACTTAATCCACCAATCAGAGAGTTATGAGTTCCAAAGAACTTTCCCACGCTGTGTAAAATGACAGAGCACTCTGATTGGTGGATTTCAAGCCAACCAATCAGAGTGCTGTGACAGGTAAATGTAGAGACTTACCTGTCAGAGTGCTCTGAGCCTAATTGCTGGCTGGTCAAGGCTTTATAAGCCTTCCACCACCCTGCAGAGCTCAGTCTGCGTGGAGCCCTCCATGGGTGAAGATGGATTCATTTTTTTTGTGCAGTTTTTTTTTTTTTTTTATTGCGTCGGTTATTGTGTATTTTTTATTTGACCTTTTTTGGGGCTGAAAAAATAAGATTTTAGAAGAAAGAAAACATTGAATGGTAAGTTTTATTTTATGTACAGGTACTTAGTTAAAAGTCCCCCTCATTATTTTTAGGGTGAGTGGAGTAGGTAGGGGGTTAATTTTTTGGGGGGTGGGAGGGGGTGACTAGGGGTTTGGGGACCCCTAGTCACCTGAGGGGGGGGGTAACATTTTTTTTAGGGCCCCCACCCTGGATTTTTTATTTGGCCTTTTTTGGGGCTGATAAAAGAAGATTTTAGAAGAAAGAAAACATTGAATGGTAAGTTTTATATTTTTGACAGGTACTTAGTTAAAGGTCCCCCCTCATTATTTTTTGGATGAGGGGGGTAGGTAGGGGTTATTAATTTATTTTTTTGGTGGAGGGGGGGTGACTAGGGGTTTGGGGACCCCTAGTCACCTGGGGGGGGGTTTCTTTACGGCCCCCACCCACCGCTCAGGTGTGGGGGCCGGGGGGGGAGAACAATAGGTCCCCCTCCATTGGTATTTAGGGCCCCCACCCGCCGCTCAGGGATGGGGGCCAGGTGGGAGGAGATTAGGTCCCCCCCCTTATTAGTATTTAGGACCCCCACCCACCGCTCAGGAGTCGAGGCCAGGGGGGAGGACATTAGGTCCCCCCCCTATTAGTATTTAGGGCCCCCACCCACCGCTCAGGGGTGGGGGACAGGGGGAGGACATTAGGTCCCCCCCATTCCAATTTAGGGCCCCCACCCACCGCTCAGGGGTGGGGGCCAGGGGGGAGGACATTAGATCCCCCCCTTATTCCAATTTAGGGCCCCCACCCACCGCTCAGGGGTGGGGGCCAGGGAGGAGGACATTAGGTCCCCCCCTTATTCTAATTTAGGGCCCCCACCCGCCGCTCAGGGGTGGGGGCCATGGGGGAGGACATTAGGTCCCCCCCCTTATTAGTATTTAGGGCCCCCACACACACCAATCAGGGGTGGGGACCAGGGGGGGGGGCAATAGGTCACGGGTGGGGGCTTGGGAGGGGGGACCCTATTTTTTTTATTTTTTTTAAAACAGTGAGCAGGCTGCTCACTGTAATAGACATGCCCCTACTCGCGGTATAGTAATCTATTGTGTAGGATAGTGTGTATCCTTTTAGGAGTGCAGTTCTACATATTCATTGTTTTATGCTCTATTCTATGATTTTGGTTTTATTCTTGGGCCTTGTGGGGTTTTTTCCCCTCAAATATTATTGCTGAGAACAGAATCCTGTCTCTGATCAAACCTAGACTTGATAATCCATAGGCAACAATCGTGTCAGACATTCCTACACAATGTAAACAAGCGATTAGCAAATTTATTAATATAGTATTATATTTTAATGTTAGAGCACCCTGATGTGGTCATCATTGGTAATTTCAAATAATTATTTATTTATGGGTGAAATTATTACATTTTACCATATGTCCATTCTTTAAGCATATGGGAATTATCCCTGTCCATATCCACCAACAGAGGATAAGGACATTGTTCATGTAATAAAATATTAAACTCAAAAGAGAAGGGGAGATATAAAGATTGAAATAGCCGGCTTACACCCCCAAAAATAGTTTATTGTTTCATTGGCATCTCACCAAAAGCACCATAATAGACAATTTTATTTCTGCCAAGTAACACATCTATCTAGACTAATTTTTCTTTGATGACTTTCTTCTCACTTCTACAACTGCTATTGACAAGTAATGAGATTTCGTTCCTAGTAACATGCATTGCTAACTGGCATAATCCCACAAAAGTAGTAGGGACATCTGATTGTCTTAAACAGCTGCTAAATGAACATAGTATCACATTGTATTCATCGGGGTTCTATTTTAGTGTAATGTAGGCTGTCCAGGACAGTTATAGAAGATGAAACAGATTGTTAGCATGGTGGGTCCATAATCCGGTCTCTAGAAACTGTGGATCTGAAACTATGGATCTGGATCAGATACATGTTTCTTCTAGAAGACTGAAAGCATACAATGATCCCATGTGGACTATGGAGTCCTGCCAGGTTGCTGATGATTATGACAAAATGGATCTGTAATGTGACCTAAGTCCCAAATCTTAAAGATACAGCTTCCATTATCATCTGAAAAAAAAGTACTTTGATAGTCCTCATCTATTTGAGGACTGATTCTGTATAAAGTTAATTTTTTATCTTTTGTTTTAAGAGCTGAAATAGTGCATAATGTTCTTTTAACCGCCCTTGCATACATCATATCTAATCAGTATTGCTTTGTTAATATAGTCATCTGAGTTACACTAACTGGTAAATATATTTAATTTGTGAGTTATAAATTGATTTTCTAAAAATAATAGATAATGATAGTTTGTTTACTTATTTTCATGTTTGTAGAATGATTATTCAATCTCTGTTTCTACATATACATATTGTTTATATATTTTGCTTGCTTTATGTAAAAGTTGATTTAGTTTTTTTGTTGATTATTGTCAAAGAGGCTGTACCTATTTGTTTGTTAATGCTTGCACAAATTCAATAAAAAGATCAGGGTTATTTCCTGCCATAATAATGTTCTACGTTTAGAACTCCCAGCAATCCTTTGTAACTCAGTTCATATGAAGCAGATAATGCTACTCTAAGTTTTTGCTTCTACAATAATTTAGAAAGAAAGAATTGAATATCCTTCAGCAGTTTCGTAGAAGTAAGCAGAAATATAGCCATGAAAAGGCACAGATTTCATTTTTAGGAAAGTTATCTAATTTTTTAGAAAAACTACAACTGGACGCACACTGTCTGGCATCAGCATACTTTCAAATTTATTGGATTGTTGAATCTATTATTGTGTGGGAATTGCAAAATGTAAACAGTGCTCTTTTTAGGAAACAGCAATGTTTTCCTTTCCAAGGCTGCAGGGGCAGCATGTACAGCCCACAATCATTTCATTAAGATAAAATTATTTTGGTGCTAAGACTGTCCATTTTAACTTGGTACAACCATTGGAAAAATTCTAAAATTGTAAAATTAGCCCAGTAATCCATTCTTTAATTTCAATACAATACATAGCAAAATAAATTCTAAAAAACAACTTCATTAGTCTCCTCTCAGTATCAAAGGGGTTTCTGATGGACTTGGGTAGTGCTGGTACAGAAATCGATTTACTATGGACAGTGGTCTAAAGAACATGACATACCGGTAGCTGTTTCTAACATGGGTGAAAACATAGCGAATTCATTTCCAGTTTTGACTGCGTTTGAGTTGGTGCTTTCACTACACAAAATGTTGTTTAAATGTTATAAACTCTGCCAAATGTGTTGTTTATTATTTAATTGTGCGCGCTTTATTTTTCATTATGATTTTACACTAATTATACTATGATTCATTAAGATTGTTATATTTTGTGTTAAGATTTTGCCAATGACTATATTCCCGAAACCCTCTTTCATGAGCAATTTATATTACTACGCACCCATGATGTTCTTAACCGAATATTAAAGGACCACTATAGTGCCAGGAAAACAAACTCGTTTTCCTGGCACTATAGTGCCCTGAGGGTGCCCCCACCCTCAGGGTCCCCCTCCCGCTGGGCTCTCCGCCTCCTCCTCCTAGGCTGAATGCTCATGCGCGGCAGGAGCCGCGCGCGCATTCAGCCAGTCTCATAGGAAAGCATTCACAATGCTTTCCTATGGACGCTGGCGTCTTCTCACTGTGATTTTCACAGTGAGAAGAGTGGAAGCACCTCTAGTGGCTGTCAATGAAACAGCCACTAGAGGCTGGATTAACCCTAATATAAACATAGCAGTTTCTCTGAAAAATTTTCTATTTATAGAAAAAAGGGTTAAACCTAGCTGGACCAGGCACCCAGAACACTTCATTAAGCTGAAGTGGCCTGGGTGCCTATAGTGGTCCTTTAATACTGATCTAATAAAAAAAAAATAAAAAAATAAAATACTACCAGCTGTTTAGCTATAATGTAATTTAAATAACATTTCATTAACATGAAGGCATCATAAATAATTTACTGGCTGGTGCAATCTTACCTCCTCCTTGTATCCATCCTTTTTTTACTATGCGATGGAAGACAGAATTTTTGTAATGAAGCTTTAGACCATTCGGAGAATCCCCTGCTTGGCCAGTACACAAAGTTTGGAAGTTTTGGCATGTTTTAGGGCACATATCAGAGAACAACTACACAACAAAACACAACATAGAACAATAATGTGTTAATGCATATTCTGAAAATTCCTAAATTTAAACATTATCCATTTCTAACAATTTCCATAGATACAACTGCATTACAATACATAAATAGGGTGCTCACAGAATGATATTGAATGAATTAGCAATCTTTGATTTCACATGATTTGTTGTAATCACTCTTAATCTTCTTAATTGTAGCAACTACATTCAGTATTACCATAAGAAAGGTCCTTAATGCAATGCAGGCCAAACTTGGAAGCGGCATTGTTAACCCTCCCACCCCTGAAAAATGAGTATAAATATTTATAAAGATTTAATATTTATGAAATCCTCATTATGACTGTCTTGGAATATCACTGAAATTCCAAACCCAATCAAGAGATAAGAGGTATACAAAGCCAAAGTAGGGACTACTGTATTCCTCCTCCACCTGACAGCTATGGCCAACTCCCTGCAGTGATGGCTGCAGGCAATTGCCATTGTCTATGGAGGATCCTGCATCTTGCATGTTTCGCCATAAACCTCCATGCTGTATGAGTGATGTCAGTTCCAGGCAAAGAAAGATGCTGGTTTCCGTAAACGTAAAACTTATCTTACCTGCTCCCCGGCCACTGTACCCCCAGTGGCGATGTCACAGTTGGGTGTCTTTGCGAGTTCTGCAAAGTCCCCAGACAGTGACAGTGCAGCTTTAATCCCTTAAAGGATTACACCAGCTAGTTTTTTGTTTTTCTTTTATTATTCTGCCTTTATTGAACAATGATAGGAAGGCAGCAAACAGAATTGTAAACAAAAAATGCAATATCAGTGAGCAAGGGTTAAATACAGTGGCGACTGGTGAAGTTTCAAGATGGCGGGGTGCCAGACTTCTCCCCCTAGGATTTCACTCCTTCCTATATAGTACAGATACTCATACAATTTAGAGAGCAGAGCATAATACAGAGATGCTCATGCAATAGAAAAATCTGGGAACAACATAAAGATATCTATAAAATACATAAAGCTGAATAAAATACAGAGATTACCATATTATTATTATTATTATTATTAACACCTTTAGGACACATGACGGAAATATTCCGTCATGCTTCCCTTTTAATTCAGAAAGTGTGTCCTTAAGGGGTTAACAGTGGTGAGGAAAACCAAACATAATACACAGAGCTGGGCATAATACAAAGATAGCGATACAATACACAGAGCTGGGTAGACTACAGAGATATTCATACAACAGGTAGAGCTAAGTAAAATATAGGCATCAGCACACATGATTTGGCACTTCCACTTTAATGCCTAACTTAACCCCTTCAGGACGGAGTCACTAGTACACGTTCTGATCAAAACAAAATGTAAACAAAAACTGGTATTTGCGCTATATGTCTGTTCAACCGTAATTCACCTCTTTCATATTATTTGCACCCACACTTATTATATATCAGTTTGTTCAGGAGAAACAGGGCTTTCATTTCATATCAAATATTTATATATGAAACATAATTTATTATGAATAAAATTAAAAAAAAAACTGAGAAATTTAAATTTTCTTTAAAAATGTGTAGTTCCGCCACACATTTTAGCTGTAAATGTCATAATACTGTTAGCTTTTACTGCAAAAAAAAAGCACATATTTGGATTCGGCAAAGTCTCACGAGTACAACAGTAGCCCCCATTAACAGTTGTTACGGTGTTGTGGAAAGTTAAAGGGTCAAATCTAGCGCATTAAATTTTTCATTTTTTTCACATTGAAATTTGCCAGATTAGTAATGTTACCTTTGAGACCATGTGGTAGCCCAGGAATGAGATTTACCCCCATGATGGCATACCATTTGCAAAAGTAGACTACCCAAGGTATTGCAAGTGGGGTATGTCCATTCTTTTGTAGTAGCCACTTAGTCACAAACACTGGCCAAAAACACTTAAATATACACATAGAATTTAATATATTATATATATACATATATATGTATTTAAAGTCTACATGTACACTTATTTAGTTATTTATGTAATTATATATATATCTGTATATATATATATATATATATATATATATATATATATATATATATATATTTGCGGTTATTTGTATTTTATATATAGATAGATAGATATAGAATGTCATTCTAAGTGTATTTCGTTACCAATATATATTTCCTGACCATTATTCATGGCAGCATTTACTCATGGGTTAGCTCCTCCTCTCAGAGCAGAAAGGACAGGAAATAGAACTTTGAAACTGGTATAAATAGATCATCCCCCTTCCCATCAGGCAGTCTCTTATTTCTCTACTAGGCTCTGCCTCTTTCTGACAGGCAGATATTGATTTGTTCCTGTATCTTCAGGTAAGTAGTTCACCAGGCAAGAGGAAGCAGTGTGAATCGTATTTAATAAATACATCCAGTAAGTAGTAGGATTCTCAGTGTAATTCTCCCCGTGTTTAATAGCATGGTGTGTCCGTTCTCATCCAACATTATCTGCTTGTTCCAGTATGAAGTGATGCCTTTGTCGAGGTGCTGATTTGATGATGTCATCAATTTGGTTTTAAATTTTATATCAGAATGACATTATCCTCCTCTAGCTTATGCTATCATGGCCTTAGTTCCTATATGACTCTATATCTATTCAGGATATTTCAGATATTGAATGCCAGGAGGATGCTGACCTTGCAGCCTCTAGGGAAAATTAACTTGTCTGAGCAGATTTTATGACAATATCCTATTGATTCTTGTTTGGCTTTGTAAAGTATTCTAAGATTCATACAGCTCAATGATGGTTTTATAGCTATTAGCTGTTTTTGAACTCTGTCCCTCCCTCGATATACAGTTGCAAGAAAAAGTATGTGAACCCTTTGGAATGATATGGATTTCTGCACAAATTGGTCATAAAATTTGATCTGATCATCATCTAAGTCACAACAATAGACAATCACAGTCTGCTTAAACTAATAACACACAAAGAATGAAATGTTGCCATGTTTTTATTGAACACACCATGTAAACATTCACAGTGCAGGTGGAAAAAGTATGTGAACCCCTAGACTAATGACATCTCCAAGAGCTAATTGGAGTGAGATGTCAGCCAACTGGAGTCCAATCAATGAGATGAGATTGGAGGTGTTGGTTACAGCTGCCCTGCCCTATAAAAAACACACACCAGTTCTGGGTTTGCTTTTTACAAGAAGCATTGCCTGATGTGAATGATGCCTCGCACAAAAGAGCTCTCAGAAGACCTACGATTAAGAATTGTTGACTTCCCTGTTAGCGAATCTAATACATAAAACACTAAACAAGAATGGATTTCATGGGAGGATACCACAGAGGAAGCCACTGCTGTCCAAACAAAACATTGCTGCATGTTTACAGTTTGCACAAGAGCACCTGGATGTTCCACAGCTGTACTGGCAAAATATTCTGTGGACAGATGAAACCAAAGTTGAGTTGTTTGGAAGAAACATGTGTGGCGAAAAAAAGGCACAGCACACCAACATCAAAACCTCATCCCAACTGTGAAGTATGGTGGTGGGGGCATCCTGGTTTGGGGCTGCTTTGCTGCGTCAGGGTCTGGACGGATTGCTATCATCAAAGGAAAAATTAATTCCCAAGTTTATCAAGGCATTTTGCAGGAGAACTTAAGGCCATCTGTCTACCAGCTGAAGCTCAACAGAAGATGGGTGTTGCAATAGGACAATGACCCAAAGCATAGAAGTAAATCAACAACAGAATGGCTTAAACAGAAGAAAATATGCCTTCTGAAGTGGCCCAGTCAGAGTCCTGACCTCAACCCGATTGAGATGCTGTGGCATGACCTCAAGAAAGTGATTCACACCAGACATCCCAAGAATATTGCTGAACTGAAACAGTTCTGTAAAGAGGAATGGTCAAGAATTACTCCTGACCGTTGTACACGTCTGATCTGCAACTACAGGAAACGTTTGGTTGCAGTTATTGCTGCCAGAGGAGGTTCAACCAGTTATTAAATCCAAGGGTTCACATACTTTTTCCACCTGTGTAGATGCGAATATCCATTTTGCTCAATATCCTAGCTGTTCATATAAGGGTTAATTTGACCCAAGAATAAATTTGGAATTGTATCTCCAATTCTCGTAAATAAAACTTATCTATTTACGGGAAATGTTATTGGAACATGATTTTGGATATCTACATGACATGACATGACATGATAAGGATTCTGGAATGACCTTGTTAATTGTCCAACACTGTGAATGTTTACATGGTGTGTTCAATAAAAACATAGCAACATTTCATTCTTTGTGTGTTATTAGTTTATGCAGACTGTGATTGTCTATTGTTGTGACTGATGATGATCAGATCACATTTTATGACCAATTTGTGCAGAAATGGGGAGTGAGAAAGGGGTTGTTTTGCGGGATCGGGTCCTATAGTCTTGCACCTGGTCTGGAACTCCCTTTCCTGTCTGTCTTTCCATAACTTCAGCGGTGCCTAGGTATGTTGTGGGTTCTCTCCTGGGTCATCTACCCTCTCGTTCTGAGTCTGCGTCCCCTCCCCCACCGCGAGGCGATGCCATCACGACGGGAGGGGGGGAGCGCCCAGCGGTGTGTTTAGTTGCCTCTGTTGTTTTGCTTCCTTGTGGGCGGTAATCGTTGTCGTGCTCCAGTCGCTGTCTACGTATGGTATCTGTGGTGTATCTGGAGTGTTTTCCCCCCTTGGGTGGGGGTGGTGTGATGTCTCAATGCTCAGTTGTGTCAGTCATCTAGTGTTGACTTATGTCTGCTGTTTATTGTAGGAGTTTCCCACGTCGTGGGAACCCCCGAGTCTATCGAGCGATGTCTCGCTGGGCCCACGTCCCATGGGGAAATCGTGGTGCCTTCTCGGGCTCAGATATTTTGTGGCCATGTTGCGCCAGGCGGTCCCCGACCTCGCCCGGGGAAAGAAAAAGGAGAGAGGGGGGAGAGATAGGGATGGGTGGGAGTGTGTGAGAGTGGGAGAGCTGGGAGGTATGGGGCATAGCTATGTTGTGGCATGGGTCTATCCTGACTCCCGAGTTAGTCGGTCAGGGCAGGTCCGGGTATTATTGTAATTATACGTGTATATATAAATATAAAATATATAGATATATTATATATATAATATATATATATATCTTATATATATGTAACGTCATTCTAAGTGTATTTTAATACTAATATATGTGCTTATATTAATACAAAAATACACTATGTATGACGTTACATATATTTATTTTAACATGTTTCTTTTTTTTTTTACTACTCCCCACCAGCAGGGCGACTGTGACATTTCAGACAGTCCCCCTGCTGGCAGATCCACAGCCAGCTATGCCATGTGATCGCTCTTTGAAAGCCATCACATGGCCCCAGGGGGCCTGATTTGCCAGGGGAGGGCTGTCTGGGCTGTCAGGCAGTCCTCCCGAAGAGGATCGCGGTGGAGGGGAGTACCGCCGAGCTCCTGGGGGCTTAAGCCGTTACGGCGTTCTATGCCGCCGCAACGGCTTTAAAGCCCATTTAAATAGGGACAGCATCGAACACCGTAACGGTGTTCAGGGGTTAAGCACTAATTCATAACTAAAATTAGTGCTTATGTTTGTGTCTAGTGTTCGAATGCACATGTGTTTTTGAGTTTTAAGTTGGTGTTTGCATGCAAGCACACCTTCACATATACACATACAGTATTGTGCAAAAGCTTTAGGCCACCATTAGATTTGTTGTTTTAGTAATGGTGTAATGACAATATATAATTATTTCTCAGTCTTTTATTAGAATTCATTCAGAAAATACAGGAAATTTGTATGCAATGCCACTCTCAAAGGGGAATCAGCAAATAAACTGGTTACTCGAAATGTAGCATTCAAGCTGTTATAAAAAATTTTGAAGGATCAGGAGGGGTCATGGACAAAAAAAGGACTTGAAGGCCAAGTTAACACTCAAAATCTGATGAGAAGTGTCTCAGAGTTTCTACTTTAAAAGACCGGAGGAGGTCCATCAATGACCTGGGTCAGTATCTGGCAGCTTCATCGGAATGCCTAGTTGACCATTCTACAGTCCGAAGAAGCTTGATCAAGAATGGTCTTTGTGAAAGGGCAACAGCCATGAAACTACTTTTTCGGAAGGGAAACAGGGTGAAAAGGCTAAGATATGCAAAGATTTGAATAAAGATCAGTGGAAAAGAGTATTATGTAGTGACAAATGCAAGTTTTCCATTTTTGGCACCAATTGTCGACGATATGTGAGAATAAGAGTTGGAGAGAAAGAAGAAGAATGAGTGCTTGGGACCTTAACAAACATGGTGGAGGGTCTTCCCTGGTTTTGGGCTCCATTTCTACCAGTGGTGTTGGTGATATTGTCCGAATTGATAGGATCATGAATGCTGAAGAGTACAGATAGATTTTAATTCATCAAGCCATTCCTTCTGGAAAGTGCCTGATTGGGAATGGTTTTTATTTTTTCAGCATAATAACGATCCCAAGCACACTGCTAATGCAGTGAAATCATATTGAGTCATGAACTGGCATCCAGAACTGAATATTATAGAGGCAGTATGGGATTACCTGGACAGAGAAAGAAATAGAAGACAACTTAAGTCTAAAGAAGAACTCTGGGAAGTGCTAAAAGAAGCCTGGTATAATATACAAAAAGATTACTTCAGAAAACATCAGGACAGTCTCCCCAAAATAGTTCACTATGTGCTTAGTGCAGAGGAAGATCACACAAAACACTGACTTTTGCCTGATGATGTAATTTTCTGAAAATTGTGGGGTTTTATATTTTGTGTACATATTTCCTGTATTTTCTGTTTGTGTCTTAATAAAGAAACTGAAAAATAAATATTTGGATGGTCATTAAAACTTTGCTAAAACAAGGAAGCTGATGGTGGCCTAACACTTTTGCACAGTACTGTACATTGTCACACACATGCAGATGCACATTGCCACACAAAGTTATATACACATACACTGCAACACACAAATGCACTCTAAGGGATACACACTTATGTTCATGAAGAGATATACTGACACACACAAATCCGCAAACCCTGATACATATGCACACAACACACGCACATCGATATACTCACCACTTCTCCGAGTCCAGCTTTCCCTCCTGCTGTGTGTTCTTTAAATTCTTTGAAGGGGCTTCAGTGAGCCTCCATGCAGCCTGTCTTTCTTCATTTTGTGGCAGATACTACTGGCCGTGCCAGCAAGTCCAGGAAGTTCCCCTATGTTGCTTGGGAGAGCAACGGGTCTCGGTGGGCCCCCTGACTGGGGCTCTCTTGCAGTCACACCCACTGCAACACTGGTAGTTCTGTCCCAGCTTTACACAAAAGGCCCTTTTACCAGTGCACACCTCCAGTCATTACCCTTCTTTGTAAAATTTAGAGGATTTGAGAATATGACGTTAATATATCAGTGAACAAACATGAAGAGGAAACCTCAGTCCTAAGCTGGTCCCGGTGCTTTCCAGACCTGGGGCTGGCAAAACCCAATTCAATGGTAAAACAAAAGTGTAGTCCAGGCACTTCAGGATGGCTAATGCAACAAGATAAACATGTAACGTTTCGATCTCCACTGAGATCTTTTTCAAGCATGTTACATGTTTATCTAAAATAAAAATGATCATGGCACTTAAATGGATAAATTGACACTGTAAGCACCATAGCTTCTTGTTTCATTGAAGTGGTTATATTTCCTGAAGTCTTCTTTCCCTTCAGTGTAGATCCATTTTTTTAATGGTTTAACGCTATAAAGGAGTCTCCGGCAACCTGTTCCCTCTGTGCTGCTTATGCTAGTGAAGAAGCAATAGCCTAAGCAGCACTGAGCTGCCACACTTGCTTAAAAGTGGCAGCTGACCACTCTCAGCTTATCACAGCCATCTATTGCAGGTAATAATTGGTATGGCTAAGAAAGAGTGTAATCTCTGCCTTAACCATACCTCCAGTATGGAGCCAGACTGTGGGTGGTCACTTGAAAATAGTTTAATAATGATAGAGTAATGGAACTTCAAAGACACGATTTGGTTATAGTGCCTAGAGCAAGGGTTCCCAAAAGGTTGATCCCAAGATGTTGTAGAACTACAACTTCGACAATGCTTTGCATGCCTTTAGAATGATAAAGCGTAATTTTAAAACATTGGGGGATCTACATTTTGGGCACTCTTGGCCTGGGGTGTCCCTTTAAAATGACAGTCTAAGCACCAAAACTAATAAACTTAATGTTGTGATTTGGGGGCCTAGATGCTTTCACCGCAGTATGACCAATGTGAGCACTGCTGTTTCAGTTTATTATTTTATTTGTAGAAGAAAGTGCCTCTTGTGGCTGTCTGATTGACTGTTATTATGTCAATCAGTTATTTGAAAATAATTGAGTTTTAATTAATTTGAAGTTTTATTAGTATATACTTTCCATAACGTGTCCTTTTAATATGCAGTTGTTGCAAATGAATAGTAAAATACAGAATGGTGCTACAAAAAAAATACATACAAAACAATAATAAATAAATTACCTCAAATAGTAGTCTTCCTATTGGTTTCTCCTGTATGTCAATATCAAGGTACACAAAAACATGCTGTAACGTGACAGGAAAAAAAAAAGAGTTAGATAACAAAATACTAACAGCTATAGACTCTGTCAGTACTGTTCACTATAGTGGGAATTGCCTGGAATTCAGGGTGAATTTAAAAAAAAACAAAAAAAACAAAAAAAACCACACAAACAAGAAAAAAAAAATTGTTATTCAATATTAACGGTAATCAGAGATATCATGTGACGGTAATTGAATCCCATTACTTTAAAGGGACACCAAAACAACTTTAGCTTAATGAAGCCATTTTGGTGAGTAGCCGTTGCAGCTGGTGAAGTTTTAAGATTGCGTGGCACCAGACTCCAGATATACACACACGACTTGCTTTTCCTACAGAAATCTCACATTTGCAGTGCTGGTAGTAATGCAAGTGTTTCTAGGTGGGCATATGCAAATAAGTTCCACCTTTTTGCCTCATTATTTCCACCTGGAATCCTTGGAGTATATATCTGCTGTATACAACAGCTTTGAAACATAACTCCACAAGTAATGCCAACTTTCAAGAGGAAACCAGTAACCAACCTCCTGCTGATGAGATGCATTAACAATGAAACAGCCATCCATGAGTGGTTACCTGGCATAGCACCTCTTCCTGAGTTATGTTTCAAGTTGTGTTCTTACATTTGTGTGTGTGTTACTTCCAAGATGGTTTCTTCCTTCTCTCTCCTGTGGGTACTGTAACCATAACCCCTGGTGCTATCAGCCAATGATAGCCAATGAATAGAGAGGCCAATAGCATGTCTCCACTCATGGGCAGCAGGCTCTGCTGTCGAAATGGCAACTCAATGGAAACTACAGGAATTCCATCTTAGAGGACACTGGGCATGTGCAAAAGCTGCTGAAACAGGGCGGATTTCAAACCATCCCCATTTGTTTTAGATGCTCTCAAGTAAGCTTCTCCAAACAGCTACCAATGAGGGCGGAGGGGCCCTTTAGGACTGAAATCTATTACAGAATTAAAGACAAACACATTTTTCCTATATTTAGTTGGCTTAGCACCCCTCCTCCAAAAAAAGGAATCTTAGTGTTTCTAAACTACTGCAAATATTCATTTCTCCGCATAAAAACTGGTGGGGGCTCTGCACGCGCCCCTATGGACGACCTTCCATTGGTGTATAGATCATGTCGGGGAAGATGTAACAAGGGCTGCGTAACAAATGTTATTTAACTCCTTAATGGCAGAGAATTAAGCACTAAGACTGCAGGAGCAAGATCTTTACAACAATACAGCTTTGTTAAGTTATGGTGCTTAGAGTGACATAACAGTGGCATAACAGTGACATAGTAAAAAAAGAAAGAAAATACCAAAAACAGACTAATATAACAAAAAGAGAAACCTTATAAATTGCAGTGTATAAGTGTGTACACTACAATATCTTCAATAGTAAGTGGAATGTCACTTATAAACTGTGTAATATGCTCAAATATATGTGATTACAGTTAACTTGTTAGAATTGTCTAACTAATACAAAGTCTTACATTTACAATTGTCTAGTTAATGCTCTACAGTTCTCTGTTTAGCGGATAAAGTGTGTACAGACATATTCACTAAAACTAGACATATTCACTAAAACTAAAACTTTAACATGTAGGGGATCGGTTAGAAAACTTGAAATTATAGCTACGCCTCGGATCTGCATTATCACTGAGGCCACCCTCTCTTCTTTCGCACCCTCTGTTTTTCCGGGCCTGGGGTCCTTTCGGAAATATACCCAATCCACTGTCCATATACTCAACGGTATTTCCAGGAATCTGAGCTCCGCAGGTCCAAGGTTCTTCTGCACGTAGCAGGAGGATCCATGGACATAGGGTAGTGACTCCCATCAAGGACAAGGCTTGAAGATCTGTGCAGTTGAAGCACTGCGGCTCAGACATATTCAATACCAGGAAGACCAGCTTTTCTCAATTAGTCTCAACGGTGTAAGAAGACGCCTAGTGTCTGACATAGGCACATGAGTGAGAATACATCGCTATGTGTGGTTTGGCTGAATGCAGGGCCGGTGCAAGGATTTCTGCCGCCCTAGGCAAAGATCCATTTTGCTGCCCCCTCATGAAAGCAAATACAATTGCATAGAGGTTTATTCACTAAACTCTGTGAGTTGAATACCAAATTTCAAAGTTTAAGCAAAAACAGCTGAAATGTGACTGTAGCTGAATTAGAGAATTCTTCTAGATAATCTATTTTGGCCTAAATTTTGCCATATGGTTTCCAGTTAGGTCTGCCTAATACACACATACTGCTTAATGCGTACATCCATACACACACAGCCTAATACCTACATCCATACACACATACTACCTAATACAGCATCCATACACACTTACTGCCTAATACATGCATCCATAGAAACATACTGCTTAATGTGTGCATCCATACACACATACTGCCTAATACCTACATCCATACACACATACTGCCTAATACAGCATCCATACACACATACTGCCTAATACAGCATCCATACACACATACTGCCTAATACAGCATCCATACACACATACTGCCTAATACAGCATCCATACACACTTAGTGCCTAATACCTACATCCATACACAGTTACTGCTTAATACATGCATCCACATACTGCTTAATGCGTACATCCATAGACACACACTGCCTAATACCTACATCCAAACACACACACACTGCCTAATACATGCATCCATACACACATACTGCCTAATACCTACATCCATACTGCCTAACACATGCATCCATACTGCCTAATACATGCATCCATACACACATACTGCTTAATGCATACGTATGTATGTACATACATACATACATACATACATACACTGCCTAATAACTACATCCATACACACTGCCTAATACCTACATCCATACACATATACTGCCTAATACATGCATCCATACACACACTGTTTAATGCGTACATCCATACACACACACAAACACTGCCTAATACCTACATCCATACACACATACTGCCTAATACAGCATCCATACACACATACTGCCTAATACAGCATCCATACACACATACTGCCTAATACAGCATCCATACACACTTAGTGCCTAATACCTACATCCATACACAGTTACTGCTTAATACATGCATCCACATACTGCTTAATGCGTACATCCATAGACACACACTGCCTAATACCTACATCCAAACACACACACACTGCCTAATACATGCATCCATACACACATACTGCCTAACACATGCATCCATACTGCCTAATACATGCATCCATACACACATACTGCTTAATGCATACGTATGTATGTACATACATACATACATACATACATACACTGCCTAATAACTACATCCATACACACTGCCTAATACCTACATCCATACACATATACTGCCTAATACATGCATCCATACACACATACTGTTTAATGCGTACATCCATACACACACACAAACACTGCCTAATACCTACATCCATACACACACACTGCCTAATACATGCATCCATACACACATACTGCCTGATACCTACACCCATACTGCCTAATACAGCATCCATACACACATACTGCCTAATACCTACATCCATACACACATCCTGCCTAATACATACATTGAACACATAATTTATTGCTGTGATAAATTATGTATTCAATGCATTAGGTGAATTTAATTTATAATAAGACGAGCACACACACACAGTCAGACAAATACTCAGTCACTGACAGACACAAAGTCACTGACCGACATACACACACACACACACACACACACACAAATACTGACATACACACATACAAACACTCACTCACTGACACACATACTCCTGACAGGCAAACACACACACACCTACACTCATTGACATACATACACTCACTTACTGACAGATACACACTCACTGACAGTCAAACACTCAAACTATTTTATTTTTTTAGGCCCATTCAGCCTCCTTACCTCCCTGGAGTTCCGAGTGGGGCAGGTCCTCATTCCTCCTGCCGTTTAGAATGCTGGGGCCAGAATGACGTCATATTCCGGCTCCCGGCATCACAGAGTGTGTGCGATGGAGTGAGAAGCTGCAAGAACAGCCTACCTCGCCGCCTGCCTTCTCCTTCCCCTTCTCCTCCAGCATTTATCGGCAGATCAAGCAACTGCCATCAAGGTGAGCAGGTGTCTGCTCTGCCATACTTAACAAGCACAGCTTCAAGGGCGCCCTAAGAATTGACCCAGTGTGGAGTGGTTGGAGGGGGCAGCTAACCCAGCGCTGCGGCCAAAGACAGGGGCAGCCCACCAGGAGACATCCAGGTGGGCGCCCTCAGCAGGCAATGCTTAATTCGCCCTGGCAGAATGACAGCTGAAGATTTTACCCTTTAATAGTCTCAAACTCTGTTTATTATATGCTTAGCATGTTAATCTTTAAACCCTGACACTCAGCTAATATACTTGTCAGATGATTTTCTATTACATAGCTAGCCCTTATGCATGTATAATTACTTAGCAAGCCTTTATACATGTATAATTGTATCAAAATGTATTTGCACTTTTTTCTATGAAAGTGATATCGTTTGCATCTTTTTTCAATTCTATTTTGCAATCCTTAGATGGTTATGGTTTTCTCACAATTTCTTGGCGGCTCTGCACGTGATATTTAGTCAATGTCTTTGGTAACCTCATGCTAATACAGTTGAGCTGTAGACATACTAGTTTCCATATGAATACGCTAGCTAGGCATTTCATAGTCAGCCATCGCGAGAATAACATGCTGCGAACTTCAATTTCTGTCCTTATTTTCCTTATATCTGTCCCTATATTGTGCTGTGAAACTTCTATTCATGAAACACTGGAGCCTATGAGCCGCATAGCATTCGCTATGCTGAGTCGACATGCTGTCTGCGCTTTAATGTATAGATGATCACTTAATTTGGCACGGCCTATCTGGAAGTCTACCTACTCATTATTATCATTGTCCAAAAGATGGCTCCAGTGACTTCCTCCTAATATGGTCCAGCTATAGATATACGATTTCTACTATGGGCAGGCAAGGCTTCTCGTATTCTACTATAGGGGGATGCCTCTCCTTAAGCACCCTCGCTGTGATGTGTGGTGAAACTTTCATATTAAACAACGCAGCCTACATGCCCATGTGGTATTTGCTTTCAGTTCAGCTGACTGTATATGCTCTTTGCTTCTTAGCCTATATGTTCCATTTTTGCGCTGCCTGACTGGCAGTTTATTTCCACTGTTATTAGTTGCCTCTTACCTGGCCTTAACCTGACACTTTAATTAATAAGTTTTATGTTAATAACCAACTAAACACTAATGTTCACTTCCTCTTCTGTTGTTCAATGTGAACAAAAATTATGATTTATGTTTTTTATTCCATTAAGTTCTTTATTGAATTATGTGATGTACTTCCTCTGCGAACGAAGATTGTTGGCTGTACATTACCAATAAAAAAAACATTTAACACACAATAGCAAAATTGGAAGCTTAGTATCTAGCGCCCTCTAGTGGTTTTTAAGTTATTGCTTATGTTACAAACTGGTACCATGGCTGACGTAGAGAATTTTTCCAGTTCGCCAAATTTTGCCTGAAAAATTCTAAATTCACTTTAAATTCCTGCCAATTTTTTATTTTAGTGAATAACCCTGTAGCATTCTTTGTTCACAGAAAACATCCTTTCACACTTTTTTACACTTTTTGATTTCAAAACAGAACTGACACAAAGGGCATGGGCATCAGTTCTCTCTGTTTGGGACTCAGTGTCCTTTCGTGGTTCTTGGTGTGCTACATTGCTCCTGATTGTGATTAGTGTGTGCACCAGACCCTTGCTTGTTCCTGACCTTGTTCTTGCCTGATACTTTGTTTCCAGTTATCCTGTGACAGTGTAGCAGTCACCAGCTGGTTCTTTTTACAGTGAGTTTTACTATTGAGTTCCTAACTTACTTTTATTTCTTGTTTTCTTTACTCCCTGGCCTGAATGGAATGTTAACTTAAAGCTGTTTCTATTTCTATTTCGTATCTAAACGATAAGCCTGGTAATACGCCTCTATATATTTGCTCCAATGCTTTTTGTTAGGTATATTTATTTATTACTGGCATTTATAAAGCGCCAACATATTCCGCAGCGCTGTACAATTAGGGTAGAACATACAATATGCACAGACAGGGCCGGATTAACATAGGGGCTCATGGAGCTGCAGCTCCAGGCCCATGCCTATGGAATAGGCTCATTGATTTAAAAAAAAAATATATTTTTATTTTTTTACAGTACACTTCACATGCTCTTGATTAAAACTTAAGAGGAATGTAGGGGAATAAAATTAGTGTTGATTGGCTGACAAATTAGTTAAGGTAAAGCTGACTTTGCTCACTATGCAAATGCTCTTTCTGCTTCAGTCTCTCTAACACTGTGGCATGTACCCTTTCTTCTACACTCACTACATACACTTTTTTTTCTGTCCCAGACTATATAAAAGAAGCATCTGCCTGCTAGTAAGAAGGTTAGAAAAGGAGTAGACCAGCCAGTTCTAGGGGAAAGTCCTTAGAAAGCGTAGCGCTAGCGCATCATTAGACACATTTATGCTAAGCTCAGGGTGCTGTCGTCACAGTATGCCCTTGGTTAGTCATCCTGCATGATTGGCAGGGAGCCTGACGTACATTCACGTCAGGCTGACCATCTAATTCTTTGTGCATCCTTTTTAGGAATGTTTGTCCCTTTTTGTGGTTCTGGTTACGTGACTGGCGTCAGTGGCCCACCCTTTTAACCCAGCCACTGAAATCCTGCTTCATTGGACACTGCTTTTAGGAGTAATGGATTTACTTGAAAGATGAAAGTGAGAGATTAGCATAGGGTTTGTGTTTTACGATAGCAGCATCCTGTGAGTTTCCCTTCAGCATCACCTCCACCAGATACATGGCGCTTGGGAGGTATAACTGTTTTAGTGTTTTCTGTAGATAAGATTCTGTAACTAGGCCCATCATAATTGTCAGCACCAAGCCCAATGGGCTCTTAATCCTGCCCTGTGCACAGACCAATACAAAAGGTAAAGAAGGCCCTGTCTGTGAGCCATTGATCTATCCCAGGACCTAGGCATTGAAGCTCTTTTATACAAAGTGCTTAGATAGACAGCCCGTTCTTACAAACTAATGGATATAATGTGGATTTGAGAGGTAGCAGGGGGGATTTGGAAGTGATGGCCTGAAGAAATGACAATTGGCAGAGAGTTGAAGTTACTGGTCATTGAGGTGTCATTGAGTAAGATCTCAGACAGCTGAAGGAACATGCTATAAATTTAGTAGGAACCTGGGTGGGTGGGGGTGGGCAGAAGTGCTTACAGCAAATGAATTAAGTTAGTATTGCATGCTTCTGGGTTTGCAAATTGAGGCCTAAATTGAGGTTGTTCACTGTACCTTGTTGAAGATCATTTCAGTATCCCGATATCTCTACCACTTGCAATGTGGCATACTGGGCAGGAGTCAAGAATATTGGATTTATCTACAGATAAACCAGTCTTTCTACATGACACCAGCTCCAAAGATGTAATATTATTATTTGAGATTTATATGGTATAAAATTACCTTTCTGGCTTTCATGTACTTGGTGTAGTCATCGTCAGCCAAGGCCTTGTATAACGCTAAAGGCCGGTAATCTCTGTAACCCCATGAAGTGTTAGCCCACAACACCAGTGATTTTTCATCTCCAACAAACTGACCATCAATAAAGCACATGACGCTTGAAGGGAATTCCCATGTATCTCCTTTAAGTTCCTGAAATAATAAAACATAAAAAATTGGTATTTATACCATCATTATATTAGTCAATAAATATTATGCTGGCATACAGTGCAGCCAGTAAATATTAGCACAATGAGATAAATCCAAATACTTGGATGGTGATGAATAGGTCTTTGCATTGTAGGTGCTCGGTTTCATATGAATATAATTAATCACTAAACTATAAATTGTCAAGAATTTGAAGTCAATTGAAATGGAATTTAAATTCTTTTTAAAATACGTTTTATTGAAGTTTCGTATAAGCTGCACAGGAAAGGCAAGCAACAACAGCGAAAATTGTATAACATAATAACAATGAGTTATGCAATTTCAAGAGTTATGCAACAAGAGTTATGCAATTTCTCCATAACAGTGAGTTAATATAATGAAGATTAAATAATACCCTACCCCCAAGGAAAAATAGGAGGAAAGGAAACAAATAAGAGAAAAGAGAGGGATTGATATTAAATAGGTTTCCCAGTTAAAAAAAAAACAATAACAAAGGAAAATTGATAGAGTCACCAGGTTCAATTGAATGGTGTATCTGAATAATGAGAGATCTCAGGGTCTCACATTTCAGTAAATGTTCAAAAACTAATTTGAATTTCTCCCATGATTCATACTTTAATGGATTACAATATAAGATTTCCTTTTCAACTAGCTGTCAAAATTTAGCAATGTGACATTGTGTATTTGTCAAGTCCATGAAGTCTAATTTACTACACTAAACGTTGATGAGGCTGAGAGGCACACACACACAAACCTGTATCCCTGACCCTTTGTGTTAAAACACCATCTAGCCCTTCTGCCCTCCCCCTCCATCACCCAAATATATTAAAATATTACCTTTACTTCAGTCTGTTGCTGCTGCTAGCTCTGCCCGTGATCTGCCTGCTTAGCTGACATCATCAGAAGATATGATCTGAGCCAATCCCAATGCTTTCCCATAGATCAGCATTGGATTGACTGAGCTTGTCAAGGAGGCAGATCAGGGGCAGAGCCAGCACAAGCCAAACACAGCCCTGGCCAATCAGCATCTACTCATAGAGATGCATTGAATCAATGCATCTTCATGAAGAAAGCTTAGTGTCTCCATGCAGAGGGTGGAGACACAGAATGGCAGTCACACTGACCCAGGAAGCACCTTTAGCGGCCATATGAGGAGTGGCCAGTGATGGTATCCCTAGGCTGTAATGTAAACACTGCATTTTCTCTTAAAAGACACTGCAAAAAGGCCAAAGGTAATGATTCTCCTCTCCAGAACAAATACAATACACTGTAGTTGTTCTGGGGACTATAGTCACCCTTTAAGGCCAAAACTGGCTGAACTGGAAAACGTAACAAAGTCAGTTTTGCTTCTAACTTTCAAATACACACGTTACACAATCCTGACAATTTTCACTTTAGTACATAACCCCTCAGTTCCTTTTTTCCTGTTTTATATTTCAGTTATATATAAAAGTCTATGGTTTATATGCAATGTTCTAGCAGTCATCTATTCTGTGTAAACATGGGCTGTTTGGGAAATGTATTTTATATGCACATTATGCCCACATACAGAAATTGGCCTCAATTTAATGTTTTTAGAGAAGCCTTTTAATTGATTTCATATTTTTGGATAGGTTTTTCAAATTATTTATTAAAAATCTAATATAATATTAATATATATCATATTTTGAAAAATAATATATATATCAAAATATTACATTTTAAAAGTTTATCCAGAAATATTACGTAATTTGAAAAGCTTATCCAAAAATATTAAATCAAGGCCTTGATTTTTACATTATTGTGCCATTTTGTAACAATTACAGTATGTGACAAAAATAGCATTTTTGACTCTGATAACATGAGAAATAGCAGGATAACTTTAATCAATACATTTGGAAGCAATTTGATTTGAGTAGAACAAATTTAGTTTTCAATAGAAAAAAAAAATGTCCCATGTCTTTTTAATGTGATCGATATTATAAAAGTCAAGTGGGCAAAATGTTACCTTTTTCTTTTCTGATAGGTAGTGATCCCAATCACATTCCAAGAGTGGGTGTATTATGGGGCTTTCAAACTCTGCATCAAATGAAAGTTTTAGTACCTAAAATAAAACACCATGCACTTAATTAACAAAAAACTTATATCATATGCATGTTACTACAAAGTTCCAAGCAAGCTTTAAATTAGAAAACAGATTCATTTAATATTGTCAGTCCATATACCCTAACAGTCCTTATAAACTGGATGCCACTAACATGTTATTTTATTTATAATATAAATAATAATGTATGTTAAGCTGCTGGTAGAATAATCACAATATGCCCCCTACCGCAGCTAGAGATTCAGGTGTACCCATGTGGCCACTATAACCATTTCAACATATTGAATTGGTCATAGTGCCTGGAGTTCTCTGTCACAGTCTCCCCATTTAGTGTTAAACCATTTTCAAACAGTTTAACAATGTCATCATTTATTATTGGTATGTATATAGCGCTAACTTATTCCGCTGCGCTTTACAATATTTTGAAAGGGGGAAATTTAACAATAAATGAGACAATTACAAAATGATTCAGGAACAATAAGTAGAGGAGGACTCTGCTCAGACGATCTTACAGTCTAGAGGAGGTGGGGTATAAAAACACAATAGGAAGGGCATTCAAGGGGGATAGAACCAAGCAACAAGGTGGAAAAGTAACAGAACTGGAAGTGAGAGTGGAGTGTGCCCTTAAGGAGAGAGAGACAGAGAAAGAATTGTGAAATAGAACTCTGGGAGGCCATAAGCATTTTTGAAAAGATGGGTTTTGAGAGACTTTTTAAAATGATTGAAGACTATGGGAGAGTCTGGTGGGGGTAGGCAGGCTGTTCCAAAGGAAAGGAGCTGCTCGGGAAAAGTTCTGCAAGCGCGAGTTATACTAAATAAGGATTCTGGCCCACCCACAGCCCGGCACCTACAGGAAATATGGCAGAGATTACACACTTCCTTTTAGCCATACAAACTCATGCTAGGAATGGGCGCTGTCTTATGCTGAAAGCGGTTTGTTGATGCTCTCAGCCAATCACAGCTGCCCACTGCCGCTCGGGCTAATGCTTTCTCATTATCCAAGGAAGCACAGAGGGGTTGTGCTGCTTGGGACTTGGGAAGTGGTTTTATAACATTAAAAACTTTTTAATGCTGAATTGAAGGACAGTGAGAGGTAAATTCAAACACTATGTGACGAACCGGGAACCGAACAGCCGCACGAACCAGAGACCACCCAGGTGCTTTTTAAGCCCAATGGATACTTTGTAGCAATTTCCACCGCAGTGTTCTAAGTGTTCGTCTGGGTGGCCGCATTTCGTATGAACGACCACGAGGTGGCGGACATCTTGTTTCCGTGAACGCAGGCAGCGATGTTTGGGCATAAATCTCATGGAACTAAAATCGGACACAGAAACTCCTGAACACCGCTGGACTTCCATCAATCGCCTATGTTCGGTTCTACCCCCACTTAGAAAGGCACTGTTTGGTGGAAATGTTCCCACGAACAAGGGGAACAGGCTACACAAGTAATTTAAGTCATCCATTTGGTGTTTTATGTAATTTGTGCTCCCGAGACCGACCGTTAGCCCTGATTTCCTGGAACTGTTTTAGCCATAGGACCATGTGCACGGTCGGTCAAATAATTGACTTCCATGAAAATCCCAAACCCCTGAACCAATCTGGGTGATTTTTGCATATGTTGGTCACCCAGATCGGGGCTATCATGGGATGTTTGTGGAGTTTTCATGTGTTTTGGGGGTATTTTGTTATATTGCATGTTTTTGTACCTGAGAGATAATTTAATTATATGTTTGTGTGCTCAGCTAATTATCTCTCAGGCACAGGGGAGGAGTATGTTGAATGTTTGCTTGTAACTAGTTGCCTCTCAGGTCCTGAAGGGAATGCCCCTGGAATATGTTTAAGAAAACCCCTTGCATGGGGAGTTACATAAAAGACTGTGTGTGGCTCCCATTAAACACATTCATTTTACCCCTTCATAAAGTCTAGGCTCATGTTTGGGGGATTGAGAGCTCTAATCACTACTTTGCTGAAAACAGGAGAGCTATAATCACTGCAGCACTTGGTAATCGGGAGACTAGAAGCATTGGACTGGACATTGGCAGAGGAGGATATGCCTCCTCCCTGACGTCTTGGGAAGAGAAGATAAGCAGTGCTGAGGGAGCCTTGGCACAGGAAGAAAAGGTAAGTAAAAAGGCATTGTAACCGTTTTTTATGCCAAACGAGGAGGAGAGTACATATAAACTTAGGGACCTGAACACTAAAGTGTTAGGAATACAGGTTTAATCAAAAATAACTGATGTGGAAGAATATTTAAATCAAATAATTTTTCTAATTCATGTATTTGGGCTTTAAAGGCCCTCTGCCCAACGGCACTCCACGCTTCCTAATACTGAAATTTCAGAAGCCAGATTCCCCGTGGAAGGAGTTAAGATTGTCGCTGGAAGCTCATTTTGAGGTTAAACCGTACAAGAACGATTTAATCCCCTTGAGGTGAGAGTGCGCCCAAGGGCCTCCTGGCACCGTAACAACTATATTTAGATTAAGTTGTTATAAACTGTCCCTTTTAAATGTGAAATTAATTTTGGATTCCACACAATTCTCAATTTAGTAAATAACCCTGTGTATGATTTCTATTTTCTGTATTTCACTTTCTTTTTAAAATTGGAAACGCGTGAAGTTAATTCTTTGTAGGTAAGTACTCCAGGGCTAATATTTTCCAGCAAATGCTGGAGCTTTAACCCGTTAAGGACCAAACTTCTGGAATAAAAGGGAATCATAACATGTCACACATGCCATGTGTCCTTAAGGGGTTAAAAGGGAGATTTTTTTTTTCTGTTGTATTATTAAACGGACACTCCAGTGTCAGGAAAACAATCTGTTTTCCTGGCACTGCAGGTCCCCTCTCCCTCCCACCTCCCATCCCCAGTTGCTGAAGGGGTGAAAAACCCTTCAGTCACTTACCTGACACCCCCGCCGATGTCCCTCGGCGGTGGTTTCAGGTCGCCGCCGCTCCTCCCCTACCTTACGTCAACCGGTGGGCGAAACTGATCCTGCCCGCCAGCCGCGGAGACCTAAAGCGCATTGCCGCGCACGCGCATTAGAGCTCTCCATAGGAAAGCATTGAAAATGCTTTTAAATGCTTTCCTATGGGGAATTGAGTGACGCTGGAGGTCCTCACACAGCGTGAGGACGTCCAGCGACGCTCTAGCACAGGTTTTCTGTGCTATGATGCAGGAAGTGCCCTCTAGTGGCTTTCTAGTAGACAGCCACTAGAGGAGGAGTTAACCCTGCAAGGTAATTATTGCAGTTTATAAAAAACTGCAATACCATCCCATGAGCACTGACATGCCCTGTTGCACCCGAACAGCACTCACCTCATCACCGACATGTCCTATCAAATGCAGAAGATATACCATAAAAAGTGTTGTATAATCGTTTCTAATTACCTATGCCTCGCAATTGTATGCTTGTTCATAACCTACCTCTGCTGTTGTGGCAGAATAGGTAAAATTGTTTTAGTATCGCACGACTAAATAAAGAATTATAAAAAAAAAAAAAAAAAAAACTGCAATAATTACACTTGCAGGGTTAAGGGTAGTGGGAGTTGGCACCCAGACCACTCCAATGGGCAGAAGTGGTCTGGGGGCCTGGAGTGTCCTTTTAAGTTATTGCTTTTGCATACAGTATATAAGAATGGGTGTGAAGGCTTACCCTGTCCATTTAAAACTCATCAGCACTTTTTGTGTTAGTACAGATAAATGTCATTGTTTCTCTATATTCTTTTCTATACTATTAACTTCTAGTCATATATCACTGCCATTACAGTAAACAATGTATCTACGCTGGGAAATGGGTCAATACATAAATGGCAATAGTGATAACAATTTGGCAATGGAAAATTAAACCCTATAAAAATATTAAAGATAAAAGCTAAATATCATATGTCACAAAAATGAATGGTTTCCTTTTACAATACACAACTGACACATCACTTACCATCATATGAAACGCATTATACAATTACTTTTTTAATAAACCCAACCCCCCCCTACAGAGCCCTGCGGTCGCCCTTGTATACTCTCTGGGTTATACCTCGGCCGCACATTTAGCCATGTGGAAAGTGGGCTCGGAGAGGCGCCCGACCACCTCGAGCTGCAGCTTGTCCGAAGCCATGCTTCAATCCTTCTGCACTCTGTATCTGACAAGTAACATTCTGTTACCAGGGCAACGGAACGCCGAGAGTAGCTCCAACTTGTCACTGGCCATTGTTTCATTACTATGGGTGATTAGGGCGGATATGACGTCACAGATAGGCATCTTACCCACAGCTGGCAAACCATAAACCAATGCAGACCATTAGGGTGGTGTTTTAGAACATTAAGGGTACTTACTGATTAAGCCTGTAGAAATCAGAAAAGAGCAATGTGCGATCAAATAATCAAGGTTAGTCACTTGAGGCGTGTATTCCCTAAACACCGATTTGTAGGTAACCAAAATCATAAAAGCAAAATATAAGCCAAAACAGAGCTGGAATTGTTTTTAACTGAACTATAGTCACAGTTATAATTTTGAGTTTATGGTTTCAAAACTTAAAATTTTAATTTCATAAATTAAACAATATTTCAAACACATAAGAGTTACTTTCATCTGGCCTAAGTACTGTGTACTCTTAAAATGTCACTTGCAAAATGGAAGAAAGCGTCTCTACAGGTGGGTTATGGGAGGTATGTAGAATTAGGGTTAGTTTGGGTGGATCAGTAAAGTCAGAACTGTCAGGAATTCAAACTGAATTTCAGACTTGAGGACAAAGTAGCCAAATGGGTAGAGTAGCTAAGTAGGATTTTTTTTGGTTGTTATTTTGGCTTTAAATTAAACTACACTTTTTTTTTTTGACAATTTTTATTTTTCAAAGAATAAAAAGGTGGTGGGGGGTACAGAAGGAAAGAGGGGGGGGGGGCAGTGCCTGGTACAATGTGGAACAGTGTTATACAGTGTTTTCTTTTGCCATGCGTTGGTTTCATCATACATACAACTGTTCAGACTTTAATTTATATGCTAAATCAATCAATAATTGTAGTCCTAACATGGTACTTGTAGCCCTGTCATGCCACTTAATGGTTGGTGCCTATGTTGTTGTAATGGTAGGTAACATGGTTGGTGTTGGAGTGGGCCTTGCCCAGGCTACTATCTTTTGTTCGTGGCTTCTTTGTTGGATGGGGTGGTGGGGGAGGGGTGTGAGCAGAGGGGAAAGGCATGTGCTGAGAGTGTGGTATTGGCTGCAGTGGGCCTTGTGTTCGTGGTTGTCTTCGTGTTGGTCCATGTGTATTCATGGTGTCTTGGTGGGTTTGCCTCCTCTCAGGGGAGCCTCTATTCAGCCTGTGTCTTGTATTTGTCTATCGGATCCCAAGCTTGGTGCCAGTAGGACTTTCCTTGCCGTGTTTTCCTTGCCATAAGTTCGTAGGCTTTAGTGGATTCTATCGCTTTGATGCACTGATTTATTGTTGGGGAGGTTGTTTGTTTCCATTGTCGACTGATAACGGTGAGGGCTGCAATTATGATGTGGTACAGTAAGTACCGCAGGTACATGTGTGGCACCTGTGGGAGTAGTAATAGCAGTAGAAACGTTTCTGGCGTGTTTGGTAGGCGCACTCCCGTGCACTGGACTGTTAGTCTTACGACTTGGGACCAGAAGTGTCGAAGTGATGGGAAGTGCCACCATATATGTATCATGGTTCCTCTATCTGCTGTGCATCTCCAGCATATTTCGGAGGTGTCTGGGAAGCTATGTTTGAGTCTCGTGGGTACCAGCTACCATCTGTAGATTATCTTGCGGGACAGTTCTATGTGTGTCGTAGAGAGGGTCATTCATTTATGGACGTAGTATATGTTTTGCCATTGTTCTTCAGTGAGTTGGTGTCCCATGTCCTGTTCCCATGCTGTTTTGAAGGAAGGTGGTTTGGTCTGTGTTTGCATATGTTCTGAGGCGTATGTTGTGGAAATGAGTTTTGTTGCTGGTTTTGTCTTCGTGCATATCTTAATTATTGTCCAGTGTGTGTTTGACGGCTTTGTTTGTTGTGGTGTTGGTTGGGCGAGTACCCATGATCTCATTTGTCTGTAGGAGAAGGTTGCCGTACTGTGTCTATACCAAAGTTTATAGTTAAAATCTGGTATGAGTAGTTGTAACGTGTCCAATTGAAGTTCTGGAGAAAGTGTTGCTGTTGCCACCATCTTTTTTCGGTATGTGTCCCATATTGAAAGAGTCAATGCAGTTGTAGATAGCAGTTCAGAGATTTTTGGTCTGTGGGTTTTTGGTAGCCATGCCAGGAGTGGGATGGAGAGCCCCCTCGCGTGGTTTTTCTCTATTTCGGCCCAAGATGTAAGGTCTTGTCGATGTGAAATTGCCACAAGAGGGGTTATGTGAGCAGCTCTATAGTATCCTGTTACATCGGGCAGTCCCAACCCGCCCTGGGCGGGTGGTCTGTACAGAGTTGTCTTGGCGACTCTTGTTTTTTTGTAATCCCAGACATAGTTGTTTAAGATGTTCTGCAATTCTAGCAGATATTGTTTCGGGAGTTTATTTGGCAGCGTACGGAACAAATATTGGATTTTTGGTAGGATTACCATTTTCACCAATGCTATTCGGCCTGTTCATGTGTTAAAGTCGTGACTTAAATATGAATATTAATTTAATAATTAATATATAATAATTAAGCAACAAATAACATTAATATTTTTTTAGAGTTCGGTATTATGGTCGAATATATAATAGGAAATACACAAAACATTGTAGTATTAAATGTATATTTAATATAATTATAATAACAATTAAACAAATGCTAGCAGAATGTCAATTTACCACAATAATTACACAATACAAAACTACAACATATTACTTACAAAAGGCTATAACAGTTGCTAGCTGTTATAATAGATTACTTACACGGCTCCAGCCTGTTTGGCTGGAGCTATACAGTCAGCTACATGTTCAATCAATGCAAGAAAAAAGGCTGAATTCCTCCTACTATTTGGTTTTATCCAGTAAGTAGGCTGGCCTGTGATGTCACTGCCAGAAGCACATGAGTTAGCACACTGACCCCTAGTGGTGCCTCTAAAGCATTAAGCTCATTATGCTTTACTGACATCTAGTGGTGCGTCTAAAGCATTAAGCTCATTATGCTTTTTTATGACAAAAAGTCATTAATTAATAAATACCATTACATCATGATATATATTTGCCCTTCCAGCTTTGCAGAAGGGTTTTAATTTCCGTTAGTAGCTTAACGTAGTTTGCTTTGTATAGTGTACTTGTCGTAGGTGTAAAATTAAACCCCAGGAACTTGATGTGGTCCTGTCTCCAGTCATAATTAAAATTTGTTTTTAGGTTTGTCAGGTCTGTGTTCGGGATATTTATTCCTAGTGCTAGGCTTTTTGCAATGTTTAGTTTGTAGTAGGAGCATTTACTGTATTGGGAGAGGATTTTGTGGAAGTTGGGCAATGACACGCGTGGTTGTTCAAGGGTTAGAAGAATGTCATCTGCAAACAGGGACATTTTGTATTCTCGTCCGTTCACCCTAATCCCACGTATGGCTGGGTGTTCGCGTATAAGGTGGGTGAGGGGTTCCAGCGCTATGATGTAAAGCAATGGGGAGAGTGGGCAGCCCTGTCTGGAGCCATTAGAGATGCTGAATGGTTTTGATATAAATCCCCCGTTTACTACCCGGGCTGTTGGTGATGAGCACAGTGCTTTTACTAGTGATAAGAACTGATTTGGGAAGTCAAATGTCCGGAGAACCGCAAGTAAGAAGGGCCAGTGTAGCCTATCAAAGGCCTTTTCTGCATCCAGTGATAGCAAGATCCCAGGAGCTTTTTTATTTTGCATCTCATACAGTAGGTTTAGGGTTTTCCTCATGCCATCTGCTCCCTGTCTGCCCCTCACGAACCCCACCTGGTCGCTTCCTATGATTGTGGGGATTATGTGTGTTAGCCTATTAGAGAAAATTTTTGCCAATATTTTTACATCTGTGTTCAACAGAGATAGGCCTTAGATTTTTACACTTGTTCGGTGGTTTTCCTGGTTTGGGGAGGGTGGCAACATGCGGCATAAGCATCTCTATCGGTAGTGTCCCTGTCTGTAGTGCGTGGTGGAAGACTCTTTGCAGGTAGGGGGCTATGCTAGGGGCAAAGTGTTTATAATATGAGTTAGTCAGTCCATCCGGACCTGGCGACTTCCCTTTTGGGAGGGAGTGGATGGTATCTATTATTTCATCTGTAGTTATGGGATTTTTAAGAGCAGTTCGTGGTTCATTCGTGAGTGTGGGTAGTTGGACAGAGGTGAGAAAGTTATCTATCTCTTGTGCCTTGGGCTGGTGAAGTGTTAGGTCTGTGTTAAGGTTATATAGAGAGTGGTAGTAGTCTGCCATTTTGTCGTTGATGTCTTGTGGGAGGTGGATTTTATCCCGTGTGTTAGTGAGTAAGAATGGGATTTTGGAGTTTGCCTGTTTCTGTCTAAGTACGTTAGCTAAGTGTTTTCCTGCTCTATTGCCTTGAGTGTATGTGTTCATTTTCAATTTGGTAAGGATGTAGGCCGTTTTCTCAAGTGACATTGCGTTGATTTGTTTAGTGATATCTTTAATTAATTCTGCATATGTGTCCGATGGGTTCAGGAGGTGTGCCGTTGTGGTATCTCGTAATCGTCTGAGGAGGTCTATGTGTGTTTTGTTGCGTTGGCGGTGGAGATATGAAGCTTGGCTTATCAGCTGTCCCCTTATGACCGTTTTATGGGCTTGCCAGACAGAGAATGTTGAGACTTCCGAGTTGTCGTTTAGCTAAAAGTAGTTCTCTAAACTTTCCGCTAATTTTGCTGTGTACGATTTGTCATGTAAGAGTGTGTCGTTGAGACGCCATGGTGGTTTTCCTCTGTGCTGGTATTGATTGTTCATAGATAAGGTCACTGGTGCGTGATTGGACCATACTATACTCCCAATGGTGCAGTCTTCCACTTGTGGGAGCAATGTGCCTGATATGAGTATGTGGTCGATTCTGGAGTAGGTTTTGTGTACCTGTGATAAGAATGTATATTCTCTTGCTGAGGGGTGTGTTGTTCTCCATACATCAACAGACCGTATTCCTGTGTGAGCTTTATGAGTGCTTTGTTCGTATTTTTCAGTTTAAGATGTCTAGTGGAGATGCTAGGTGTTGTCGAGTCCATGGTATGGTTAAGGTCTCCACAGATAATCATGGGGGCTGTCACGTCTGTCGGTATTTTGTAAGGACTTTGTGCAGAAAATTGCGCTGTTGGTCATTTGGGCTGTAGAGGCATACTAGTGTAATTGGGTTATTATTGATGATACAATGTAGGATCACAAATCTGCCTTGGCTGTCTTTCTTGACCCGAAGTGTTTCTACGGTTAGGGAGTTGTGTAATAGGATGGTGACTCCTTTGGATTTTGATGTGTGTGTTGCATGATATTGTACTGCATACTCTCTGGTGGCAAATGTGGGAATCCGGTTTGTAACAAAGTGTGTTTCTTGTACGCAGACTATATCTGCCTTAATACGCTTTAATTCCTCCAATAATATGCGCCTTTTATGTGGAGTGTTAAGGCCTTTGGTATTGTGTGAGTAAATAATCATGGTGTTGGTGGTATGTTATGTCACGTTGGTTGTGGTGATGTTCTGTCGGTGTGGGGTAGGACGTTCCGCAGTTATTGCTAATGAGCTGGGGGTATCTTGGAGGGGGGGTATCTGGGGAAAGTAGATTTTAAAAGGACACTATAGGCACCCAGACAACTTTATCTCATTGAAGTGGTCTGGGTGCAATGTCCCTATCCCCTTATCCCTGCAATGTAAAACATTGATGTTTCAGACAAACTGCAATTTTTAAGGGTTAAGACTGCCTCTAGTGGCTGTCTGTTAGACACCCACTAGATGGACTTCCTGCATTTACACAGAGGTTAACTCCATGAAATGATGTGGGACACTTTGCATGAGGATGTCCAGTTTCTTCAAATCCGCCATAGGAAAGCACTGACTCGGAGGAGGCTTAGTCAGTGCCTGAACGAACTGTGTTAGGAATTCACTTTTTTTAATCCTAACACTATAGTGTTCTTTTAATAATTGATTGCATGGCTATTATGTATAACCTTGGTTATATTTTGTTAGTTTATTGCAACAATGTGCTTTAATATCCTATAATATGTAGCAATGCACTTTGTAACATTTACAAAAAGAAGATATTAATGTTGATAGAATTGGATTGTTGTATTTTAAATTTTGGTGTGTGAGTGTGTGTGTGTGTGTGTGTATATATATATATATATATATATATATATTTTTTTTTTTTTTCACTTTTAATTTTATTTGTATTATTTTGTAGTGTTCTACTGCCAGTTAAGTACTTGGAGTGACAGTTTAGTGAATTTTCACCCTATCTTTGTCTGTTCAGGGGTGGTCTTAAGCTCAGACCATATGAATAGGTTTGGTCTTTTTTTTTTTTAACATCTTTGCCTGTCATGTGTCCTTAAGGGGTTAATCAGTCTAACTAAAGTACGTTGTACAAAACACGTAGATTGATTGCTGCTGCCTTATCTATGTTATAATGACCATACGTAGGGAATAAATTGCATACAATTGATTTTATTATTTGGAAAGAAGTTACCAATTTTCTCTGCATTGGCATCTCCCATAGACCAACTCTTGCAATGCCCAAGAAGCCTTTTTGAAGTTCTGATTTTTGTAAACAGACTTTGACCATAATACAAAGTAGCCCGTTTTTTCTTATGAAATCTTTTGATCATGTTGGGATTTCAGTGAAATTCTAATGCAGTCAACAGGAGCATTTCACAAAGTTTTTATCTTTATCTATGAACAACCCAAATAATAACATTAAATTAGAGATTATTCTAGCGTCAGTGACCTAATAATCTAAATTTTATTAAAGACAGGAGGCGAATATTTGCTTTACTTCCTTTACTGTTCCTCCCAGCAGCAAAGAAACAGTTAACAGATTGAAAAAAAGAAACAACCAATCAGAACACATCTAGTCATTAATAAGTGGCTGTGAAACTCCTCCCAATTCCTCTTTCTTGATGTAGCCGGAGTGATGTCAACCATGTAAACTGGAACGAATAATCTTAACGAAACTGGAAGTTGGGACAACATATCCTCAACGATGTCGTCATGCAGAGGGGTGAAGGCTCTTTCACACTAGAAAAAAAAAAAAAGAGAAACTCGTGAAAGTATGGTGTGATTGGCAAGGTGCCTACATACAAATGCCTAGTTTGAAAATGTTTTAATGAAAACTTCTGGAATATTACACATATCCCTAGTGATATATATGTGGATGAAAGAATGAGCTTATGAACCAAAACCAAAACTACAGCAGTATGAACACCCTACCTGTGTATCCCATTCTGAAGAAAAAGGGAGGGGACGTGCGAAAAAAAAGAAAAAGAACAAAACAAAACCTGAGCGCATGTAGGGTGGGAAAATATTCGCCTCCTGTCTTTAATAAAATTTAGATTATTAGGTCACTGACGCTAGAATAATCTCTAATTTTATGGCAAGACAGGAGGCTTCATATTTGCTGTTTTAACGCCCAGAGAGCAAATGAAAACCCGGATGAGTTTGAGGCCGGAAATAAAACGTACGAAAGGTAGATTCCCTTGACCAATCTGCCGAGGTCAAAATATCCGAAAGGGAACTCCCAGAGGTAAAGGCGGAGGATGCGGCCGCGCCCCGTACTGAATGAGCGCCAAAGGGCGGTTCTACGCCCGCAAGGCGGAGGAGCCACCTGATCCACCGAGCAATAGTGGGACAAGACACCGGACGGTGAGGACGAACGTAGGACACAAAAAGAGGTCCCGACGGGGGCCGAAGCGGCGATGTAAGAGTAACGTACCGTTGTAAACAAAGGGCAACACACAGAGAAGGTCTGTCTGGGAAGTATGGATAAAAGACGGAGGATGTTGGAATCTTAGTGCGACGGACAACAGAGAAGCGTACTCCCTCGGGAGTGAAAGTAATTGCATGAAGGTCGAAGGCTTTGATGTCGGAAACCCGACGTAGAGAAATCAAGCAAAGTAGCAGGGCTAACTTGGCAGAGAGTTGGCGTAAGGATAGCTCTGAGTTGGGAGGCCAGGTCTCCAGAAAGGATAAGACTTGTGCCACATCCCAAAAATGGGTGTAACGGGGTGCCGGAGGTCTGGCAAGACGGATGCCCCGTAGGAGCCTGCACACGGAAGGGTGTTGTCCGACAGGGAGTGTATTGATCGGACTATGAGCAGCCGAGATGGCAGAGCGGAAAAGGTTTATAGTACGATAAGATTTGCCACTGTCAAAAAGAGAGGACAGAAAATTCATAATATTCACCAGAGTCGTTGAAAAGGGATCAATATCCCTTTCCAAACACCAGCGAGCCCAGGCTGACCACGCCGAAAGGTATGACTTTCGGGTGCCTGGGGCCCATGAATCCCAGAGGAGGTTGCGAGCTGAGCCTGAAAGGCCCGGGATGAACCAGGATCCCCTGAAACGGTCCAGGCCACCAGTTGGAGGTGTCCCCGGATGGCCAGGGGATGATATGCTCCGATTGGGTCTCGGAGAAGGTCTGGGGTGAGGGGTAAAAGCAGAGGGTAGTCTGCGGACATCTCTAAGAGGTTGGGCTCTCCAAAGGGGAGTTATTAACAGGATCCCGACTCCCAGAACCCTGAGACGGTGTAGAGTGCGAGGGATCAGGGAGAACGGTGGGAAGGCGTATGCTCCTGTCAATGGCCAGGGTTGTAGGAAAGCGTCTACGGCTTGGGACAGCGGATCCGGTAGCCAGCTGAAGAATGCGTCCGTCTGACGGTTCAGTCTGGAGGCAAAGAGGTCCAACGTAATGGGCCCGCGAAGGAGATGTAGCTGGTAGAAGACATTCGGATCCAGCTGCCAATCGCTGGCGTCCCTCCAGTGACGGGAGAACCAGTCCGCCACGAGGTTGTCTGACCCGGGAAGGTATTCTGCTTGAAGGGAGATATTCCTCCCTAGACAGAACTGATAGAGTTCCCTGGTAAGGTCTGATAGGAGCTTGGAGCGGGAGCCTCCAAGACGATTGACATAACGGACAGCGGAGACATTGTCCATTCTCAGAATTAGAGAGCAGTCGTAAACGTCTTTGGCGAAACTGCGAATTGCAAAAGCGCCAGCCATCAGTTCCAAGCAATTGATGTGCATGGATCGTTCTGACCGAGTCCAGAGACCCCCCGTGGAAAGGCCGGAGCAAGTGGCTCCCCAACCTAGGAGGCTGGCATCGGACTCTAGGACGAAGTCTGGTTGGCGACCGAAGATCGCTTTTCCATTCCAAGCTTCCATATTCTGGAGCCAGCAATCTAACTCTACACGAACGTCTTCTGTAAGGAGTATAGGTTGGTCGTAGGAATGGGATCTGCACAGATACTTCGTCTTGAGACGCTGCATCGCCCTGTAGTGTAAAGGGCCGGGGAAGATGGCCTGAATGGATGCGGACAGGAGTCCTATTATCCGCGCCAGGTTGCGAAGGCATACCTGATGAGAGGACAATAGTTTCCGAATGTCCTTCTTGATGGCTTTTATTTTCGCCATCGGGAGTTGAAGGATTGATCGAACGGAGTCGATCTGGAAGCCCAGGAAAAGGATGGATTGTGATGGTATCAGAGAGGATTTTTCCAAATTGATCACAAAACCAAGGTTTTGTAAGAGACATTTGGTCATATTTGTATGTTTCCGAAGCGTATTGGGGTCTTGTGCCATGATCAATATATCGTCTAGGTAGACGATGGACCGGACACCTTGGGACCGGAGAAGAGCCATAACTGGCTTCATTAACTTGGTGAAACACCAAGGGGCGGATGAGAGACCAAAAGGGAGGCAGGTGAACTGCCAAAGCTCTTGAAGCCATATGAACTGGAGGAAAGGGCGGTGACAGGGCGCAATCGGTACCGTAAGGTAGGCATCCCTGAGGTCGAAACGGGAGAACCAGTCTCCCTCGCAAAGAAGGTCTCGGAGTAAGTGTATGCCCTCCATCTTGAAGTGCCTGTACACAATGAATTGGTTTAGCCCTCTCAGATTGATGATGGGGCGAAAATCGTTTGACTTTTTTCGAACCAGAAAGATGTTGCTGACAAATCTGAGGGGGGATGAAGAGGGTTCGATTGCGCCCTTGTCTCTGAGTTTGCAGAGTTCTGCATGTAAGACGGTGGTGTCCGGCTGGGACATCCGTATGGGAGGGGGCAGTGAGTCCTGTATGGGGTCGGTGATGAAATCCATAAGAAAACCTGAAACAGTCTGAAGGATCCAAGGATCCTGAGTGAGAAGAGACCACTGTGGGAAAAAACAAGTTAAACGGCCTGCAATAGGTACTAGAGAATAAGGTAGGTGCATTACCTTGAGCAGATCGACCCCGGAGAGAAGCAGAGCCACGTCCTCTGATTGATCCTCTGTTGGTAAACAGTTGTCTATGATAGGGACGGGCATAACCAGAGTTCCAAGGTTCACTTGGTCGAGGCCTGTAGCCGTTGAAGGCAGACCTGCCGGTAGCTCGGCCTCTGTGGC